GAAATAGAAGTTCACCAAATACTGCAACTGCCACGAAAAATCGAAGTAGAAGTTCACCAAAGACTGCTCCTGCCACGTAAAATGGAACTATAGGTTCATCAAATATTGCGCCTGCCATGTAAAGCATATGAGAGAGTTGACTGCCACGAAAAAATAAGACAAACAAACAAAAGCCAAAGGCAGCGTCACGCACTGCCCCTCCCACGCAAAATGACACCACAAAAGCGCCAAGTAGTCCTCCTACCAGAGAGTTGTCAAGTACTCTGCATGTTATACAAAAAATGAGATTGGGATGGCCACGAAAATATCCCAGCTCCATGGTGGGCTCATCCAATATATCATGGTTGATTTAACTGACGGCCTTGAGAGATGGCGCTCAATGCTTGTGGTTTTCAGTAGCACTGCCTCTCACCGCCGGATCTATGTCCGGCATTTGAACCAGCAACTGCCTCCGGCTTTCCCAAGGTTGTTTCTGAGGAGATATGTCATACGTACCGATATCTGCACCAAATCATTTAATGTTGTTCATCATGGTGATGGTATGAAGGTTAATGTCTAACAAAGCACCCCTAGCTTTCATGACGTTTGGTTGTAATGTCAACCCCGGATTAATAAACCTTGGTTGATTAATTGTGGTGGTTCCCCCAAATAGTAATAAATCGCTACTGAAATGGTACCCCCCCAATTAAACAGCCTAGGGTTTATTAATCCGGGGTTGACATTAAGGATCTTGCGACATTGCGTCGCCGGATCACAGCCAACCCAATGTTAAACTTGAATGCAACCACCAAGGTTCCTCTGGGGAGATGATCGAGAGAACCCAACTATTATATGATGACACATGGATACCCATGCGCCGTGTCCTGTCTGCACAGCCGCTGCAGCCGCGCGCAAAGCACCAAATGAAGCTGGCCACTCAAAGCAGCGCCGCTGCAGCTTTCAGGGGCATGAATCAACACCTCAACATCAAAGGAGCGCGATCTCCAATGCAAACACCCAGAACTTCTTGGGGAAATCCGACATATACCCAAATTTTGCAAAACAGATTTTTGGTTCTTCACATTGTTGATTTCCTTCGGTAACATATAGGCCATTGCATGTTGGGGTACGACCCACTATTCCTAAGTCATTTCACCTAAGTATAATGATTTCTGTTGCGAGGACCGTGCACCAACAGATCTCAACCAACCCCACGCAGGATGTCCACCCCAAACACCATGGAGAGATGATAAAGGTACCTTACTGCCTTACTGCTGGTTCTTGAGGGTATGATCGGGCATCTTGGCCAAGTCTCTTGCTTTTCAAGTATGTGTCCGTGATGTTGGCGCTCCAGCATGACAGAGAGCCATGGACTGTCCCACGAGACAACCTGCCGGATCTAGGGGGGCTTTGTATACAAAACAGTGTTGGTTTTGTGCCCGAATGTATATATCCAGATCAATATACTTTATTATTTGCATATATCATAAGTATATATTCCATATATACGCTATATACGATATGTATTCTACGCATTATCGAAGGAAGTTTAGAAGTCAAACTTCTGACAATATGGAGAGATGGAAAAGCAGAGGTGGGAAGCAGAGAGGAGAAGATAAGAGATGGAGAAGATCAAAGAGGGAGAAAGTCAGAAGAGAGAAGATGTTTTACTCCCTATCACCCGGCACCTGGTGCTTCGTCTCGAAGACTTTGTCAGGGATGTGCAACCAGAGCGTTCGACGATCTAGTGCTTTTTGATGGTTCACATCGAAATACTCTGGAGGTCCAAGTCAAAAGTGTAAAAAACTGAGAGTTCGGACCACTTTTTGACGTTCAGAAGTCGAAAAAGTGGACACTGACTAACTTAACTAACTTAACTCACTTAACTACTTTAACTAATTATACCACACTACACCCCACTACACCACACTACACTACACTACACTGCACTACGCTACACTACACTACACTACAGTACATGACACTTCATTACACTACATTACACCACACTACACTACACCTCACTACACTGCAATTTAACTGCAAATGCACTACACTAATTACACTACACCACAACTACAACTCCACTACGTTACAGCTACAGCTGCACTACACCACACACTACATCCTGCAGTTGTGGGTGAGGTGACCACTGCAACCATTGCAACCACTCCAACAATCACAACTCCAACCACCTTTCGGTCAATCAGTGGATTCGCTCTGCCATCCGTGATTCACAACAACCAACCTCTCCTATAGGTTTCCTATTCTGAAACTTCCGCCACCGCCTTGTGCGGTACTACTGGTATATATATATATATTAAATATAATATAGTATAAAACCAATCATATATATATATTATATATTCATATTCATATTCAAGCAGCGAGCTGGACGATCCATACACATGTTTCACAACCCGGAATTAGCGACCTAGAAAACACACACAGGTTTACATTTAATGTTGCTCATGACATTGCATTATCAAGATCTTTGATGCGATGGGGACCTTGCAAAGTTATTCATGCAGGATACCTGCTAAAACCTCCAAGCAACTAAGCTTTTTCTCAACCAACCCCTGGCCCAGCATGTCCTGGAATCCAAGCGCATGCCGCTGCAGCTCCCGCATTCATTGAAGAGCAGAGTTCGGCATACCATGGAAAAAGCGTTCAAAGCAATGATGGTCTAAAATTGATTTGAGCGCAGTGCCACGCCAGCACAACACATGAAGGCTCCCAAGCAAGTTCAGAAAGACACTTCCCCAGCAAAACTGATGTGACAAGCAAGTCTCCAGTTGGAGACATATCAGTTGTCGCACTGATAAGAACAGATACTCAGAGTGCCACAAAGCACGCTACACTCTGATGGTACACACACAAATTTTGTCATATGATGCTTTCACCCAATGTTATGCCTTCCAGTAGCGGGACAGCGGTGTTTTTCGAACAACAACCCACAGCTGCACACACGTTGCCTGCAGCGATTAAACGAGCTGGCAAGTGTGAAATGGTTTCAGGTCTGCCATGTCGGTCGACACAGCTCATCCAAGTCAGTCATTGCACGCACCCACCTTAAGCGGGTTTCTGTCAACATGCAAAAAACTTCAAGTTCTCATTGCACAACCCGACGGGCCAAAAGCCAGGTCAAATCAGCTGCTGAAAGCTTCCCGGCTCTCCTCAAATTTTTGCGACGGCGCTCCTTCACAGTGGCTCAAATTAACGAACTCTGATTCTCGCAAACTAACGAACTTAAAAAGCAAGAAGATACAGGAACAGGAATGATTGTCTAGAGCAACCCTAGGGTGTAACTCTAGGGGCCCAGTCCGGAGGGGCCTAGTTGTACAAGGTTCAAAGTACCAACATTTTGCTAAGACCTTCTGCAAACCAAGAAAAGGTTCTTAGAGTCTAAGATCCATAAGAAGAAATTCTTAGAACACCAAAGCAAGTTCTGTGACTCCAATCGCCTCTGCGAACCTCATTGGGTTCTAAGTGGTTCTTACTGATCTTACTGTCCTCTAGACCACACCCTGCTTTAAAAGTGGTTCCCGAAAGTGGCTCCTCAAACCCTGGGCCTGCCTCGTTCCTTATCTGCTTCGTAGCGACTTTGAGCTGGTGCTTCAGCGTCTGCCTCTCAGCGCGCAATTGTGGAAGTGGATCCGGTGGGGCTGCCGCAACAGGCGTCCTACCCCCACCAGCTGCAGCAGCGTCATCTGCACCATGGCTTCGCCGTTCGGTATCATCACTTGCTGCATCAGACATGCTCAATGTGCTGTGTGGTGCACAACAGTCTCCGCAAGCTGAATCCAAAAAGGCTGCGACACGGTGACTCAAATTGTTCCTCTCTGTCTCGCAACAAGAACAACAACATCATAGGAAAGAATCACATTGTCCGCCATGTGTTAAGGCAGGTTTCTGCGCCCTTAAAATGAAGGCATTCGATGCTTCAAGTTGGTGGGCCCTTATAGTGCCATACTTGCCGCAGCTTTTTTCTTGCATAAGCGGCACGGATTGTGACACGCCTTGGGCGTTTTCAGAAGAGATAGGCAGCAGCATAACTCATTTTGCGCCTTTTAGGCCAAATGAGAGCAAGTTCTGCATCTGTCGGTTTGGCAGGAAGCGGAAAGGACACTGGATTCCCCATGAAATTTTTCAGTGAGGAATGTAGCTGTGAAACATCTCCCCCGCACCCGACACCTGCAAAGGCGTGGGCCCATTTCCTTTTTCCAAAAAAATCTTGACCTGCTTGGCCCAGCTGCCAAACCCAAGCAAGCAGGTCAGGGTGACCATCCAGCGCTGTTCTTCTGTGCTCTTGGTATTTACGCCGTAGATAAATTTTGAATGCTGCAAAAGCAAAAATGTCTAAGGGTTGCAACAAGCTAGTGCCACAGGATGGCACAAAGAGAAGCTGCAGCCCTTTCTTCTGTGCAAAAGACAGCACTTTTTTCGGCAAGTGGGGGCAGGCGCAATCCAAAAGCAAGATAGGCTTCACAGCAGGGAGCCAAGGTTGCAAGGCTTTTTGCAATTCAGTCAGAATTGTCACAAAGGTCTCGGCCGTCACCCACGAAGACTTACCACGAAGCAGTTGCAATCTGGATGGCGGCAATGCCTTGAAGGCTCTGGCAACAAGCTTGGGCATCCGGCTTTCACTGCAAACCAAGAAATGGGGCAAGGCTGCTTGAATACAAGGACGGCTAGCGATCATGGCCACATAAGTGAACGTCTTCCTGGATGTGTCTTTCTTCACCCTCATATGAGCATTGGCAGGGTGAGTCTTCCAGCAATGGGCACCCACCACACATCCTGTTGGACATGCCGGCGAGCAAGTAACGCATGTCTCATCCACATTGATCCAAACAATGTCCTGGTGGGAGAATTTGTTGGCCAAGTAGGAAGCTGATCTCCAGAAAGATGCCACCTGCCAAGTTTTGGTATAATTTCTGGGTCCAAAAAAGAGCCCGTTTTCCGGGCCCGAAAATGGATCCGCCAAACAAAAACGCCTCATTTCTAAGCCCAGAAAAGGGTCACAAAAACAAGCCTTGCAAACGGAATAATAGCACCGCCTTCTGGCGAAGAAGGTCGGGATCCACAGCATCAGTTGCCCGCAGGCGCCCTCTCCGCACAGCCCATCTAGCCCGAAACCGGGCCACAAATTTGTTGACGGTGCGTTTTCTAGGTTGCCCACATGGCGTGCATCCAAACAACTTGCTCTCATGAAAATCATACACTTCCGCGGCCGATGGAGCCACACCTTGGGAAAGGTTCAGATGCTTTATCCATCTGAACATATCATGTTCGCGAAGGAACTGAGAAGCAAACTTCCGCGCAGGTACCCAAAGTGCATGGCCATCATCAAATAGCTGCAGCAAATCGTCCAGGTCATGCTCTGTGAAGAGTGTCCGCACAGACTCTGACGTGGGAAATCTTGCATCAGATGTAGCCAAAGAGGATAGCCGCTGTGCTGCCTGCACTGCCAAACCCAAATCCCATTCTGATACAGCATATACTGCAAGAACTCGCCTCACGGCAGCGCAAGATAGGCCACCCTGGAGCAAAGACTTTGCCTGTCGGCGGGCTTGCTGTTGGCAACTTCGGATTTTGGCTTGGTTCTGCGCCAGAGTTGCCTTGACTTCAGCCGCTTTGTTCTGCGCCAGAGTGACGGTGGCCAGGGACATGAAACAAGTTAAAGCTCGGCTGTTCTGATGGCATGTGCCTAGGTGCATTGTTGTCATATATTATATATACCTTATAATTCAAAGAACCATTCTTCTGCTCAGTATTCTACATAACAAAGCTTTTTATAGCCACTTGGCTGTTCATCGGGCCGCTTGCAGTACTGAAGCCAAGGAAATTACACGGTACCTGCTGGAAACCCAGGCTTTGACTGAGGATACTTACTCTGCAGGCTAGCGGGTTCTTACACATCTGCGAAACCATTTAAGTTTGGGCGCAAATGCACCTCTTATTGTATCACATCACATTGCTGAATGCATACTTATATACCCTACACACACACAGTGCCATACTTGCCGCAGCTTTTTTCTTGCATAAGCGGCACGGATTGTGACACGCCTTGGGCGTTTTCAGAAGAGATAGGCAGCAGCATAACTCATTTTGCGCCTTTTAGGCCAAATGAGAGCAAGTTCTGCATCTGTCGGTTTGGCAGGAAGCGGAAAGGACACTGGATTCCCCATGAAATTTTTCAGTGAGGAATGTAGCTGTGAAACATCTCCCCCGCACCCGACACCTGCAAAGGCGTGGGCCCATTTCCTTTTTCCAAAAAAATCTTGACCTGCTTGGCCCAGCTGCCAAACCCAAGCAAGCAGGTCAGGGTGACCATCCAGCGCTGTTCTTCTGTGCTCTTGGTATTTACGCCGTAGATAAATTTTGAATGCTGCAAAAGCAAAAATGTCTAAGGGTTGCAACAAGCTAGTGCCACAGGATGGCACAAAGAGAAGCTGCAGCCCTTTCTTCTGTGCAAAAGACAGCACTTTTTTCGGCAAGTGGGGGCAGGCGCAATCCAAAAGCAAGATAGGCTTCACAGCAGGGAGCCAAGGTTGCAAGGCTTTTTGCAATTCAGTCAGAATTGTCACAAAGGTCTCGGCCGTCACCCACGAAGACTTACCACGAAGCAGTTGCAATCTGGATGGCGGCAATGCCTTGAAGGCTCTGGCAACAAGCTTGGGCATCCGGCTTTCACTGCAAACCAAGAAATGGGGCAAGGCTGCTTGAATACAAGGACGGCTAGCGATCATGGCCACATAAGTGAACGTCTTCCTGGATGTGTCTTTCTTCACCCTCATATGAGCATTGGCAGGGTGAGTCTTCCAGCAATGGGCACCCACCACACATCCTGTTGGACATGCCGGCGAGCAAGCAACGCATGTCTCATCCACATTGATCCAAACAATGTCCTGGTGGGAGAATTTGTTGGCCAAGTAGGAAGCTGATCTCCAGAAAGATGCCACCTGCCAAGTTTTGGTATAATTTCTGGGTCCAAAAAAGAGCCCGTTTTCCGGGCCCGAAAATGGATCCGCCAAACAAAAACGCCTCATTTCTAAGCCCAGAAAAGGGTCACAAAAACAAGCCTTGCAAACGGAATAATAGCACCGCCTTCTGGCGAAGAAGGTCGGGATCCACAGCATCAGTTGCCCGCAGGCGCCCTCTCCGCACAGCCCATCTAGCCCGAAACCGGGCCACAAATTTGTTGACGGTGCGTTTTCTAGGTTGCCCACATGGCGTGCATCCAAACAACTTGCTCTCATGAAAATCATACACTTCCGCGGCCGATGGAGCCACACCTTGGGAAAGGTTCAGATGCTTTATCCATCTGAACATATCATGTTCGCGAAGGAACTGAGAAGCAAACTTCCGCGCAGGTACCCAAAGTGCATGGCCATCATCAAATAGCTGCAGCAAATCGTCCAGGTCATGCTCTGTGAAGAGTGTCCGCACAGACTCTGACGTGGGAAATCTTGCATCAGATGTAGCCAAAGAGGATAGCCGCTGTGCTGCCTGCACTGCCAAACCCAAATCCCATTCTGATACAGCATATACTGCAAGAACTCGCCTCACGGCAGCGCAAGATAGGCCACCCTGGAGCAAAGACTTTGCCTGTCGGCGGGCTTGCTGTTGGCAACTTCGGATTTTGGCTTGGTTCTGCGCCAGAGTTGCCTTGACTTCAGCCGCTTTGTTCTGCGCCAGAGTGACGGTGGCCAGGGACATGAAACAAGTTAAAGCTCGGCTGTTCTGATGGCATGTGCCTAGGTGCATTGTTGTCATATATTATATATACCTTATAATTCAAAGAACCATTCTTCTGCTCAGTATTCTACATAACAAAGCTTTTTATAGCCACTTGGCTGTTCATCGGGCCGCTTGCAGTACTGAAGCCAAGGAAATTACACGGTACCTGCTGGAAACCCAGGCTTTGACTGAGGATACTTACTCTGCAGGCTAGCGGGTTCTTACACATCTGCGAAACCATTTAAGTTTGGGCGCAAATGCACCTCTTATTGTATCACATCACATTGCTGAATGCATACTTATATACCCTACACACACACAGTATATATATACGTCATTTATGTACGAGTATACTGAAATATCAATAAATACATATATATATGTATGTATACGTGTGTCTTTATATATATATACACATACATACATACATACATACATACATTACATTACATTACATTACATTACATTACATACATACATATATATATATATATGTTCTATCTCAGTATATACATGTATGTGTGTATACATATATATATATATATAATTATACATATGCATACATACCCCGTTGTATCTCACTCTGGTTGGTCTTAGATCCCCCCATATTTTTGCCGCTGACCCTGACACGTTGGTTGGTTTTCACCTCTGGGGCTGTGGAAGATTCCGCCGCAACGGCTGCAACAGCCTGGGGCACCATCAACCAACAGGGCCCTTGAACACTGCTCATATAGCCTATACATATTGAGATATGTATGTGTATACCTGCACATATATATATATAAATAAATAGGTATGTACATTTAGGTATATACATCTATAGGTATATATCTATACTCTTATAGATGTGTATGTATATATACAATATGTTTATAGGTATACATACGTTTACACAAGTATATCTGCATTTAGATTCATCTATACGTGTATAGATGTATGTATGTAGAGATATGACAGAGACAGAGAGAGAGAGAGAGAGAGGGGGGAGAGAGAAGCATAGATAAAGTGTCCACAAAAAGCGTGGGGAACCTAATTTATGCTTACATCTAATTACTGTATGTATATATATATACACACACACGATCTTTGTGCATAACTATATGGATGATGTGTACATGTATCTGTGTATATACTGCATTTACATATATACACATATATTATATGTTGTCTTTACTATCGTTTGATGTAGTCTTTCGCTTGTTTTAGTCTTTCGGAGATTGTAGATGTCTAGGGAATCTGTCCTCCAAGTATTTGCTCCGTCTTCGCGTCTCCACTAGTGACATGTTTCAACCGTCGCCCGAAACCGGAATCTGTGACTTCAGGACTGCGACAAACATGCATTCAAGGCATCTAGTTGAAGTTCAAGTGGTTCAACCAATTCACCCATGCAAGCCTAAAATGGCATAAACATCTCTTTAAGCGACCAGTAGCCAGTCATCCATTGTTTTTGTTGGTTCCAGTTGTTCCCCACCCTTGTTCTTCAAAGCAACTGCGCCTCCATGGCCTCTTTCACGAGGTCAGGATTGATCCCTGGGGCATAGCCATCCGCAGAAGCTGCCATTTCCGCAGGGATAAGCTGAGAACCAAAGGAAGATGATATGATAAAACAAGAAAGCGGGAAAAAAGTTGTTGGTGTGGATGGTGCTGTTGAATCTTTGGAAGAATGTGTCCAGCGATTCTTTCGTGTGTGTGCATGTTTTTTCTTGTGCGCCAGTGATTTGTTTGAAGTGTCCGCCCTTGATACATTGCACTACACAAGTTTGTAAACATGGTGCCGAACAGAAAAGAAAAATCAAAGGATCTCAAGATGCACCTTTATCCACCTATACCTCTTTTGAGTTTCATGTGGTCTTGGCACTTCAAGTGGTCTGGGCCGCCATCTGTTTCACTGTCAAATGGTTTGAGAGCGCACCTAGGATGCTGCAGATACGGCAAGAGTGGGGTTCCCATAAGCGGCAAGGTGATGGAATCTTGACTCTTGACCCACTTGTGAACTTCCACATTTCGCCGCAGTCAGTATAGTCTAGTATAGTCTCGTGTCGTCTCGTCTCTTTTCTCAAGCTACCTGGTGCTGACAAAATTTACATCCTCATCGTCTCGGTAGTCATCGTCTCGGTAGTCATCGTCAACATCATCATCATCATCATCACCACCACCATCACCATCACCATCATCATCGTCATCATCATCGTCATCGTCATCGTCATCGTCATCATCATCATCATCAGGAGGTTCATCTTCTTCTTCTGGCTCGCCCCTGGGATGCGGCATTTTCCACTTTTTCTCCACGTTTTATGGCCCGTTCTCGCCCCTGAGAAGCGGCATGTTTCTATGTTTTCTCCACAGGTTCCTGCCTCTTAACCTGCCGCTTTTGTGCCCAACACTCTCCATAAGCACCTGCCACTCCTGCTCTTCCTCTCCACTCACGGCCTTCTCCGCGTGCACTCTCACAGCCATGCCCCTTGCACCTACCAACTTGACTCCTTTATGTTCAATCTCCAAGGTCTTACACATGCCAGCTTCTACGCAAACCAACTTTTCGACCAACCAGCTTTTACAGAAACCACGTTTCACCAACCAACTTTTACATACCAGCTTTTTCACAAATCAGCTTTTACGCAAACCAGCTTTTACACTAATCAACTTTTAGACAAACCATGACAAACCACCTTTTACGAAAAAACACTTTTTTACACCAATTAGCTTTACACAACCCCTGCTTTGGGCCTCTAGGCCAAAGGCCAGAGGGCCGGCGGAATGCCGAAGGCTGTTACATGGACCTTACAAAACTTCAAGCGTCCAACCCCCATAATTCGTCTACAATTAACCAGTTTAAACATATGTAGCCAGTGCATCTGGTGTAAGAACCAGTTGTTGCCTCCATGCTACCAAACACTTCCTGTTGGCAAACGGCAAACCACCCAGGTGCCAGGTTTCAAGCTCCATCCACAACTATTTGCTGGTTGCCATGGCACAATCATTCCACCATTCCCCCCTTTGGGGGATGATGCTAGCTAGCAGAAGAGTGAAACAAAGATCATTAGAGTAATTCAAATACTTCAACTTTAGTGACCTCAAAGATCCTTAACCTTTGACTAAAATGCCTTGAAAAGTGGAACCAGCAATCAAGCTTCAAGCCAAGCGATTCACCATGCTGCTCACCGTCAGTGCCTGAGAATCGACGTTAAGAATTGTGATGCGTTGATTTTTTAAAGCGATAACGTGATTTCAAGACAATGGCCTGGCATTTTGGAAATGAAGGAGAAGAGCGTGAGCACCAAGGGAAATAGCCAGACACTTCCAACTGATCATCACGCAAAATGTTTGTCCTTGAATCTCTTTTGGCTGGTTCCGCAGACATTTTCAAACAGATAAAGAAGCAAGGCAAACGTCTTGGGAAACATGCGCCTAAACCCATGGCACTATCATGGATCTTTGCTGTGTCACAAACAAGTTGTGAGCTCTTGGTTAGGTGCCAAACATCCGAAAGAATACAACTTCGATCATCTTCTCAGCCAGATTAGGGTCATCACCAGTCGACCCCCCACCCTCTGAGTGTCGCTGACGCTGCAGCTGCGCGTGCCAACTGGGCCGGTGGCTCTGATGTGAGGCACATTCGATCCACGTGGCAAGACATCCTTGTTTTCACATGTTTTCACGCGACTTGTTAGCCAAAATAGACCGCGCCATGCCAAGAACTTATTTGGGTGTGTAGACTCCTATTCTGTGTAATGTCGGCCTCAGCCGAGAGTTATCTCGGCTCGAAACTTCACTGATCATATTTGGCCAGGAAAAAACACATCAAACACTAACACCATCATATAATCAGATTCTTGTTGGGCCTGGAACCAGCGGATGCTGCTGAGGTAGGTTCCTATTTAAGATGGCTTCACTTTGATCTGCACATAATTTGTTTCACTCCAAGTGGTTCAATCTCTTTATTCTCATTGGTTCAAGTTCCTCTGATCCTGAAATTGAAGGGAAAATCACAGGACCTGGAATATTTGGATGCCTACAAACCAATAGGAAGACTTTCTCTTCTGCCCCGTTGGGCCTTTGGGGGCCGTCCCCTCCTCGTTCTCAGGTTCTGACTGCAGGGAGGATCAAGGACTTCATGAGGCTCGGTGAGCCCTCGTCCTGCCGCAAGGTGATCTGGTCAGATGAGGCAAGTTGATGTAACTCCAAACCGTCGCAAAAGTATTGCGCCTGCCACACAAAACGACTTTCGACTGAATATCACGAAGTGCCACGCCTGCCACGCAAAACGAGGCTACGCGGCATTGGAAAGCTCCAAAAGTGACCACTTTTTTTAGGACTCGCCATAGGCACGGCCATACAGCTCTCACACGGTCGCCCGCGAACGGTTGCCGACGGTTGCGGACGGTTGCGCAACGTCTGGCCAATACAGCCTCAACCCCCAGACCCCCAGAGTGAAACGGGAATGGATAATCTGTGGAAAACATATCATAAAAAATGTCGATATAGAAGAGAATCAACAAAAGAAAGCAGGAACATTGAGGGAAAAATTGCCACAGAGATCACATTCGAAAAGATCGCACCCAAGAAATTTGTTGTGTCTATTTCCGGAAAGCCGTGGTTTTAGGGCTCATCGTACGTAGATGTACTTAGTAGAAACACACGGCCTTAAAGTACCCACTGGCATCTTGCGAGAGCACCGCCTCTTTCGATCAAAACTACAATGTGTCAGCATCCGAAACAGGAATTGGACAGCCAAGTTGGAAGGGGTCAAAATTGAGCGCAAATGATACGCAAAATGCCAGTCCATGCATGGTCCCATAGCACCTTATCACATCTTATGAATTTCATATGAATCATATGTTATCCAATTTGTCTACGTAAATCTACATAACAATATTATCTAATCAGCTTAATCTTCTCCAGGCAGTCTGGATCCGTCCCAAAAAGGACCTGACGTTTCAACGTTGTGAGCGAGGTCATCCGAGGTAATGGCCTCCGGTTGGGGAAATATGGAGACTGGGATCCCTGCCTATAGGGATCATGCCAGGCCAGGTCATTCGAGGAGTCTTTTCCCGTGCCAATTGAAACAAGTGGATGGCGGTCAGGAAAATGACCCGCAAATCTGAATGGTGTATGTTGCAACTGAGCGGATAGCAGTAAAGTTGGTTCCCAGTTTGGATGGGGCAACTCTTGCAAAAGTTGTTGAATTGTGTGTCCCCATCAACCATCCGCGGGGGCTCGGAAAGCTGGGCTCGTTATTGTTAATTTGTTTATATGAAAATCACTCTCGGGATCACCATTAAAGGTAGGAAATGTTCAAAATGTAAAAAGACGCAAACTCTAGAAAACTTTGCTAATGGAAAGGCATTATGTCAAAAATGTTGTGAGTATAAACAGCATTATAGAGAAAATCACCGAGAAGAATTAAGACAAAAAGAGCGGGAACGCTATGAACAATACAAACGACAAAAACTTGAGAAACAGAAAGAAAAGGTTGAATGTCCCATTTGTAAAATTGAGATTTCAAGAAACAAAATGTTAAGACACGAAAGAACCCAACGACATAAAAAACACTTGAACAAACCTAACCCAAACAAATAGAACAACAAAAGAAAACTGATGAAGAAATGAAACGAATAAAACGCCAAGAAATCATCGACTACCTTAACGCAACATTTCCCTCATATCCAGATGGTTAAATCACAACAACCTCAACAAATCCTAACCACATTCAAACAGAAAGCCCCAGAAAAGTTAGCGACAAAAAAAAACAGAACATACAACACATAAAACATCAAAGGGAAGGAAGAAACATTGAACAAGAACATAAAAAACATAACAGGCAAAACACCCTCAACAAAACCTACCCTCATTGAAACCAAACATTATTACAACAACCTAAAACATTTATATGTATATATATATATAGCAATATAACCAAAAAGAAACAGTCAAACATTTCAGATTACAAGATTGAACAAAAACATAACAGCCTCCCACCTGACCTACAACCTGTCTTGTCCTAGCTTCCCCCTTCTACCATTTTTTCAGGGGCTTTGGGCGACGTTAGAAACCACCCATCGAAAAGGTGCCTCTTCTCAAGTAGCTACAATTTCGAGGCTCATAAAGATGTTGCGGAAAAATCCAAACTTGAAATTTCACGCAACAATCAATGGGAAGCCCAAAATTTTGATTGTGGCGTACCCCCATCCATTCATAAAGGATGCCAAAACCATCAAAAATAGTTGGTTAACCACGGTTTTCCCACAAAATGGCCATAACTGGGGGTATCCCGGACCTCCCCCAATTCTGGATCCATTTCAAATCCAGACTTCGACTGTGGATCGGACTTTGGGAGCACCTTAGTGCATTGGACTGGATGACCACACAAAATAAGTAACTGTATAATTAATCCCGTCCCCCGAGTATTCGACACCCCCATTGTATGGTCCCAAACATGTCTAAATCCCTTATTCAACCATGCTGGTGTTCAATATTAAGGGGATGGGAATAAGGATCGGAGTAAGTGGGTAGACTGTGATGAAGAAAAACGGATTTATGCAACTAAAGTATCATATGCTTGGTGGCTGAGCCAGTGACCCAAGACATTCAAAGTAATTAAGTCCCATAAGTCATCCAGATATATCCAGATCATGTTTGGAATCCAGCTTGGTTGCCACGATTCATCCGCTGTCCTCAGGGCTCCCCACGGGCGCCGCTGCCCTTCGCTGGAACTCGCCAATGCGCCGCACGCAATCCTTTCCAAAAGGAAAATCAACTGGAACTCCAAGACAAACCCAACCCAGGAAAAATAACTTGTAAGTATTGGTAAGTCCCCTATATAATATTTGGCCTTGATTTCTAGAGTGTGGAGGGAACATGCTTAGATAATCTTAGATATATGTGGATTCTGTGTCGTCTCTAAGCTTGTGCAAATCTTGAACTGGTATTCACTGGTCTTTAGTCAAGCAGACTTGCTGCTCCTGGTAACGTCGCTCATAGCTGCCAAAGCGGGAAAGCTCCAAAGGGCCACCATCGTAGGCAAATTCCACCTGAAACCGCACCAAAGCACAAGCGATAAAAAAAGGCTCAGAAGCCGTGGTCACGTAGGCGATGGTTGAACCAGAAACATCGGTGTCGGATCATTGTGGGATCATCGGGTAAATGAGATCAGGAACTGATGTGATGTACGTTTTTGCCCCAGACTTCAACATGCGCCTCCTCCACCAACTTCGCCACGTCCCAAAGGTGTCGGTTCAAGGTGGAGCCCTGGTGTCAGCAATGTGTGAGCCAAATGTGTGTAGCCCGCCTCAAATGTCTGTAAACATTGTAAACTACACCAAAGTTTAGATGGCTCGATGCCAAAAGAATACAAACCTTGCTGCGGTTTTAACTATTTGAAATATGGAAGCACATCCACATGCAAGTTGCAACAGTGCGCACCGTGTAGAAAGGTTTGCCCGCCAGAGCGTCACCGATGAGCACCAAAGGCCTTGACAGCCGGGCATCGGGGGGTCACGTTACAACATGTTATATGGCATAACAACACTTCTCACCAGGAATTGGCCCCGGACATGTCTCATGAGACATGGAACGTCCCCAAAAGGGGTCCTGCGAAAGTTAGACAGAAAAGAAGTCTTCTGAGAAAAATTACAGAGATGTCAACTGCTACGAGTCTTGGGCAGTTCACATCGGAACTGGGATCACCACCATCAAGTGAAGTGGGTATGTCATTCAAATTTTAGTCAGAAACCCTCTTAACCTTGGATGTTTCGCACCACTTAAAACTCGGGAGGTGATAGGGCGTTCCGAAAGTTCAAGAATTTCTTTCTCACGTGGTTAGAACATCAATCAACTGGGTGCCACCAACACTGATGAAGGGAGTTGGCACACCTCAGATCACGGCAGACAGGTTGATTCCAACTCCTCAAGTCCATGATTTCGGGACACCTCCCATCTCCAGGCCCCGGCAGCCCGGTCGGAAGACCAGAAGGACGCATCGACTACCCTGAGAGCGAAACTAGCACATCTACACATAGCATAGTTGATTTATTCAACAGTGCGCACCGTGTAGAATAGGTATAATTATATATATATGTATTATATGGTCTAATTATATATATAATTGTTAAGTATCTATTATGTCAACTGCTACATATAGTGCACCATCAAGTGAATATTCATTCAAATTTTAGTCAGAAATAACCTTGGATTTTACCACTTACTAGGTGATATCCGAAATTATTTCTTTCTCATTCATCAATGGGTACTGATAGTGGCACACCTCGATTTGATTCCAATGTCCATGAGTATCTCCAGGCCCCGGCATGCATCTACCCTAGCGAAACTATATCTACATGTCTAGTTACTACATATATATATAATTATATATATATTGATTTATTCATGTAGTATATGTCTACTAGTACTATGTACATAGTCTACATAGTCTACATAGTCTACATAGTCTACATAGTCTACATGTCTATATATATAGTCGTTGAGACAGAAGGGAGCAAGAGCCATATGTGTGTAGGCGCATAGCAAAGTCATGATATAAGTATGTAGAAAATCATGTCCACGTCTGGACAATAAATGTGTTGCCATCATGCCAGTTAAGGTCCCAGTTTCACTCAGGATGCGATTTGGAGCGCAAGTTTTTGTGGTCCCAAATGATATCTCATTCTTCGACCATGCCGGCAATACCCATTCATACCCTTAGGTTGACTGCACCATTTTGTAGTTTCTTTGATTGTTGAAACTTCCCATTATCATCCCGTTATTTATCCAATATTTATCCCATTCGAATTCTTGTTCAGCAAATCTGCTGAAATCTGCCACGCTTGGGTCAACATCACACATCACCGGCGTCACCGGCCTCGCAGTGACACCTGATGCCTTCATGCGTTGTTGCAAGGCCTTGGTGATACTTCCCCGTCACAGATTTATTGGGTCCATGCCTCAAGAATACGACAATCAAGCACAATTAAGCTGAAATGCCACTGCCATCCTGAAATCATAATCTATGTTCATTTCTGTTTAATCTCTGCACAAATGTAACGAAATCATACGAAATCCTTTTCGAAAGCTTCAAAACAACCGGGTCTTCGTCAGATCGGTCTCCCTCCTTTTGGGGCAGATCTCCTTGGGTGAAACTCGCCAAATTCTCGCCATCTTAGCAGAGAAATGGTTCCACTGCCATGATGAAGTGACAATGCACACTTGAAGCAAAACATATGGAGGTTTCCTGAAATGGACCCCTGTTCATCATCCATTTTAGATTGGTCTTTTCCACTATAGTCACTATCCATTTGGGGGTACCCCCAGTGGAAACCTCCAAATGCGTTGTCTTCATTGTTGCTGTTGCTCTTGATTGAGTTGTGGCGATTGGCGTTCACGTTGTTGCTGTTCTTGCTGTTGCTGTTGTTGTTGCTGTTGCTGTTGTTTCTTGTTATTCTCCCTTTTGTTAGCCTGCTGGCCGTTGTTCTCCTTCTTCTCCTCGTTATTCTCCTTGTTGCTCTCCTTGTTGTTCTCCTTCTTATTTGGGTATTCTTGTTGTGGGCGATGTCCTTGTTGTCCTGGTATGTTTTAATATTGTTGTTTCTTAGTATTTTCGTTTTGCAACTTGCTGTTTATGGCTGGGATGTTCTCATATATGCAGTGTGTTCTTTTGTTCCTGTGTTTGTTCTCGTGTCTGCGGTTGGTGTTGTGATTGTCCTTATATATATATACGTGTATATATATATATATACGTATAAATATATATATATATACACGTATATATAACTGGTTTTGCTGTTGATGGTGCAGTTGGTTTTGCTGTTCATGCTGTTGGTCTTGTGGTGGTGGCGGTGATGGTGGCTGCGATAGCTTGTGTCGTGCATCATTCTTGTGCTGAACAGAACTTGCCGGTGCATGCCATGCACATGTCACTCCATTCACGCATCACCCTCATTTTGCCGTGGCCGTGAAATCTTTGCCTGTGGCCGGGCAGCCAGAGAGAAGCAGGACCTTCGTGCAACAATGGCCCCCCGGCGCAATAAAAACATGGAGGACGGAAAACAACACACCAATGGGGCTACGACCAGCGGTAAAACCGTAGGAGTTGCGGACACCACCAGTTCTCAAAACAGCTAACCCATGGTAATTGGCAAGTGACAAATCCGCAGTGACACCATCACTCCCTCATGTCCTGATCCTGGCAGCCCTGAAACCTCTTGAGAAAGGTGGAGAAAAGTCTGCCCGCAAGGTAAATTAGACTGCAAAAACTCCAAATGGTTTTCTTGGTCTCAAGATGTCTCAAGCTACGTTCAAAATGACAACAGTTGGTATCTCCGGGCAAGAAAAAACAATGACAAAAACAACCTAGTTAGGTGGGAGGCTCATGAAATTCCAATTAATTCGATGCCATGCGTGGGGAAGCTCATGCCCGAGTGGGTGTCTCGGCGTTTCCGCCCCCTGCAGGGACACTTTCAAATCTGAACCAGTAAGATGATCTAAATTGGAGGGCCTGTCTTGGGGTTCATGTATTTTCATGTATTTTCCTCAGGCAAAAACATCATGCTTTGACCGCTTTAATCACTACCCACCAAGGACGTCGATGAAGAAAGCCAAGTTGTTTGGTATTCCAATTTTGTTAGTCAATCACTCTCACTGGGTTCAAGCAGAAGCGACCCATTTTCATGGTAAGGATTCCGCGGTTTGCCCTGGTCATTCTGTGTTCAGAAACCAGTTTTGTTGGTAAAATGAGAGACTAGCAGTTAATTCTGGCACATGATGAAAATTCGGGAAACTATCAAATGAAGCCTAAACAAGAGAACGACAATTAAGGACAATCCAAAAAAGAGCTGGGATCACCTTTGAGGTCTGTGGTCCCCATTCTTGGAGCATCTGAAACCCGCACCTTGAAGAGGGCAGCGAGTGGCACGCGTCCAGGCAACGTCTTCGGTTGTGGTGTGCTATGCACCGGGGCCTCCCCAAAAACGCGGGCGGAGCGATATGTTGAGGGTTGAGGATTCAACGAAATTCAACGGTTAAACACCTCAGTTTGGAAATGCCCGACATTGATGCCATTCCATACCCACATGTGAGTGGGCTCTGTCACTCACTCGGTGCAGCGATTTTTGGTGAGAGCTTGTCACTTCAGATGGTGGTGGTTCCCGGTGATACCTGGTGTTATCCCATGGTATCCCCCAAGCAGCGTCACGGGTCGTCACGGGTTGTCACGGGTCGTCACGGGTTTCCCCGGCCTCTGCTGGTGCTGCTTGTGCTGCTTGTGCTGGTGTTGCTGGTGTTGCTGGTGCTGCTGGTGCTGCTGGTGCTGCTGGTGCTGCTGGTGCTGCTGGTGCTGCTGGTGCTGCTGGTGCTGCTGGTGTTGCTGGTGCTGCTGGTGCTTGAGACGATGTGCTGGGGCCGCTCAAACGGGAGGCCATTTTGAAGAGCGCTCGCATGGAAACTTTGCCTGACAGGGTGCTGAACGAAAGAGAGCGGCCTTGTTGCCGACTCTAAGAAATTCGGATGGAACAACAATCCTGGGACATCCTGTGTGTATACTATGTACATATATATATATATATCGTGCATTTTCTTTGGAATGTTGAACCTTACTGGATATGGAGTACATGGCCTTTCCCTCTTGACCTGGGGAAGCGGATTCTCCAAAAGGTACCAAAGCACAGAGTTGGAAGGGTTATTCCCTCAGGAAAGACAAACTATCGCATCAAGAAGGAGATTGGAACAGGATACAGGATTCTGTCAGTCCACTCAACTGTTTCATCGCCTTTAAATGCCTTCAATAACATATTTCAGAACAATCATTGCATTTCGTGGCAGCGGTAGTCGTGGCAGCTGGAAGGTTTCTTTGACCACACAAGTGCCTTTTGCCGCCTTTCCCTTCAGGTCTTTTGCAAAGCTGCTTCACGGACACTTCATTGTCTATACTTATGACGTCATAGTACTATTCACTACCTGTTCAGTGTCTGCTCAGTACCTACTCGATCTCCATTTTTGAAAACGCAGGTTGAGAAAAGTACAGTAAGAGCAACAGAAACCCTACAGCCCCATTGGCCAAGACACCTGTCGCTTTGGCACTGGGTTCAATCTTCTTGCCCTGGCACAACGACTGCATCCCAGGCTCTGCGGTGGAAATGTGATGGCTAAGTCTTTGGTGATGTTTTTGTTTTCCAAAAATTCAAAGCGTCCCCCAAGTGATAAAAATATATGTATATAAATATAATATATATATATATTTTTTTTCCACTGGTTTTTCTCGTTTTTTTTCCGTTCAGAATTATCCGTCTGCCGGGCAGCGACTGCCAGAAGCATGTGTTATTTCGGTCAACCCTCGCGCCATGACACATATAGTAGAGTTTTGCTGAATGAATGACCAGTTGGTGTCTGGAACATGGACAGTCCGTTTCAACTGTTCTATGGCAAGCTCACACTGCTGGATCTTTTTGGCTTTGCATAGTGACAGTCACCTGATTCTCCATGGTGCAGTCACAGCTGGAGCCATTTATCCACCCAGAAGTAACTCATAGAGTCAGGAGCTGTGCTCGTAGGCCTCTGTACTAAATGTTTAAGGTGCGGGTTGGGAGGGTGCTTTCTGGGGTTTCTGGGCCCGGACCAACTGCAGATTACATTTGAGCACTCCTCCCTCATGTTCCTGCGCGCGCATGTGCTACCAAACATGGACAGTCCGTTTCAACTGTTCTACTGCAAGCCCTACCACTGCTGCATCTTTTTGGCCATGGTTTGCATAGTGACAGTCACCTGACTCTCCATGGACTCCATGGTGCAGTCACAGCTGGAGCCACTTTCTCCCACACTGGCGCCAGGTCACTTCCCAAGGCAGGATGAATCCGATCATCTCCGCTGAAATTCCAAACCGAGCTCACCGCACCGAAGGTCATGGCGTGGTGGCGGAGCAACAGGGGACCTGGATCCCGCACAGGGAATTGCCTGCATGCCCCGTTGAGGTCCTGTGCCCAGACCATCGAGGTGCCCTGTCGATCAGGATGTGACAAGGCCAGGTCTGTAAATGTTTTGATGTCGTGATGATGTGGTACATCCTGAGCGACCACTGTTGAGTTGTGCCCTGATCTTCTGAAGTCCTCGCGCCGACTATGGTGGCTGACCCCACTGGCCACCAGTCAGGAGCGACGTAAGGGCCTGACGAGCTCTGACTTGAGCTCGCGGGCGTAGTTGCCCATTCGGGGTCAACATACCGAATACGTAGTTTGGCCAGGGTGTAGTGCTTGTTGTTCTCTGCACATGCCTCTGGAGAAAGAGGAAACTCATATCGGCTTTCAGCGCGTGGAAGGCACCCAGCACCTTGATGGATGGTGCCCACCACTTGAAAGCCCTGATGTATATCTTCTTGGGCCTCCCCCAAACTAGGCATCCCAACTAGCTTGAGACGATCGATGAGCAGTGGGATGGGAGATTTGATCATGCTCTTTGTTATCGTAAACCTGGGCTACATGTGGAGGCAAAGCTTTCCACCAAGCTAAAGTGTCGTACATGCGATCTTCAGCTGTCTGGTCGACCTCATTCATATCTCCTCTAGTAAGGCTGCCCCTGATGATGTTGTGGAGGTCGATGCATTGTTCCAAGCCTGGTTCCAGTTGTGGTGGTCTTGGAATGGGATGTGTAGCCTGCCTGGCCAGTGTTCCCACATGGAGGTGGCCTGGACCACACAAGCCGCGTCGTTGGGCCACCTACCTGGCCCAAGGTGAGATTCAAGTCGCTGGATGAAGGCCAACATTGTTTGCAACGCTGTGTGTCTCGGCTGTGACACTGGCATCGCTGCTGGAATCATCATCGTAGCCTGGAGGACCAACATCATGATGAACTTGGCTGAACCAATGTACCAATGAAATTCGAAACAACCAAAGAACCACGACCTGTGAACCTACCTGGTTGAATGGTGCCCGGGGCAGCGGCCACTGTGAAATGTCGCAGGCGACGAGCCCAATCTAATGATGATGTAGGGGAGGGATATGATGCATGAAGGGTTGAAATGAACGACGCTGATGACCCATCCGGCTGTCAGTCATCAATCCTTTTAGACCACCTGTGTCCGAGCCTGTCAAAACAGCTAATGTGTGCGGTCGCTACTAGCAGGTGTGCCCGATTACGTGCATACGCAAGCCAAGCCCGACTGTTGTGAGGTTCAGTATCATGTGGTCCCTGGAACGATCATGTCACTGGGGCTGCTGTCCATCCATCATCGCCATCTGCGATGAATCCTGGTTGCGTTCCACCAAGGCAGCCTGCATATGAGGTAATTAAAAAACCCCGTATAAATTTGCTTATGCCGCTTTCACCTTATCGTTTTTTTTCTTCCTTATCGTTTTGCAGGCTATCTGCACTTATCACAATCAAAGAGGTTTATGCACATGCGGCCGCCATCCAAAAAATCATTCGTTCAGCTTCCATTGACCTCGGGCATTCATACCTTTGCTGCAAAAACGCTTCTTGGAGCAAACTCACCGTAGCCACATGTAGCCACAACGTGATCAATGGGCCATGGTGTTTGAAGATGGCTTTCGGGTTAATTTTGTTATCGTTTTTGTTATCGTTTTGTTATCGTTTTGTGTCACGTAAATTCTCCCCATTTGTGGGACACACTTACACTTGGTCTTCCCAAAATGCTTCACTGCACTGCCGAGCAGTCACGCTGACATCCCCACAAACACACAACGCAATGCAAAACATGTAACTAACATGGATGAATCCCATACCACCAGAGGAAGCACATAGTGCCAGAATCATGATGGTAACATATGTTGACACATATATTCATATACATACATATGTATACATATATATATATATAAATGTATACACACATGCATGTATATATATGTATATATAATACTTAGCGTTATCGTTTTTTCTTCCTTATCGTTTTACGGTGAATGGACTATACCCGGTACAAAAAGGCAACCTGCAATACTAAATCTGATTGACGGTTTTTTTTTAATTTCCTCATATGCCATTGGTAGTAGTAGCTCTTCAGAATCAGGGCCCTGGAGATGTGTCATAGTAGCGCATCTCCTCGATGGCAAGGATAGCAGCATAGATCCGCCTGTCTGCTCGGATCCCGGCTTCTCTTGTCTTTTACAGCCGCCATTGAACCACCTAGTCACCAGTTCCATCTCACTTTGGAGCTCATCTAGCGCCCTCTGTGCCTCCTGCTGCGTTGGGTGTTCGGTCCCCTCTGTCCGGGCAAAGTCGCCCTCGGCTAGGGCAGCCGTCGTCTCGCTGGCCATGGGCCCCAGCATCAACATCATCTGGACCAAGGTTAGGCTCAAGGCTCTGAGAGGTTTGTCCCCACATAGTGGGAGGTGGTCCATGGCGGCTGTCACACTCATGAGCAACAGGCCGATCACCGGACTGGTCGCCCCATCAGGGAAGCAGGAGTTTCGTGCTGCCTGTTCGTCTGCAACACTCTCCACAAGCGAAACGGCAAGGGAAGCCATCGCTCGGGATCTACCTTTCTCCTGCTTTCTGGGGTTTCTGAACCCAGTCCAACTGCAGATTACAGTTGAGCACTCTCCCCTCATGTTCCTGCGCAGACATGTGCTACCAAACATGTTCCCAACCCCAGATACAGTCGACGAATATGGAAGATGCTGGAAGAGCAAGAAGAATTCAAATTACCAGCCAGGTAATTACAACCAAATGACACTGCAAAAATTGCGTATACCCCCAGTTAGAGCAATTTTACTAGGGAAAATGATCATTTAATGAAACTATCCAATGGATGGAATAGGGTACCCGAATCAATGAGAGCCCGTCCGTTCAAATTGCAGGGTCCCATCTGGTCCCATGGCCTTCTCTTCAACTTGCTCAGATTGCTTCACCTGCGAAACTTCTCCGTGACCATGAAAGTCGATGGGATGGGAAAAAGACACGAATGGAAAGAGCAAATGAATGGCTCCACCCATAGGGGAAAAACATGTTATATCGGTATATCTATGTTGATCTATGTATTGTCTATTCGGTTAAACGTCCATTGAAATTTAGGTAACAGCAGCAACACTGCAGCAACCATCCCCGGTTCCAAAAGGCTCCTGAAATACCAATGGCTGAGGACTTGGAGGGGATGATCCCAGGTGGTGACGATCCATCCAAAATCTGCAAGCCTTTGGAATGAACATGGGAGTTACAGTAATCCTGCTGGCTTCCATCGAAGTGAAGAATACCTGCAAAATCCTGCAAACATACAAACATCCTCAGAATCATCAACGAGGCGGTTCTACCACCATCATTTCATCGTTTCATAGTTTTATACTGCTGTACAATGATGTACAATGATTTACATGGTTCTTCCATCCCTAGATTTGCGAACCATTCCAGCTTTGATGCATAGCTTCTACAGCTTCTATACATTTCCAGTACATTTCCCAAGTTTGGCACGCCTGAGTGGTCTCTGAAGCCGTCTCTGAAGCTGCCTCTGGCACCACCGCCGGTGCGAGGGCCGGGGCCCGAGCCGGGGCCGGGGAGATCGACACCGCCTTGACGTAGTTGAAAGGTATGAGGCCTCCAGCGAAGGATGCCAGGTGTGGCCAGGTGTGACCAGGTGTGGCCAGTTTCAGCCTAAAGAATTGGTGATGCTTGGTGTTTTTATGTGTTTTCTATGTTGCCACAATGACTGGTGGATTGATGGCTGATGGATGATGCACATCCTTATGGACCAATCAGTCACTGCAGGATCCCCAGTAGGTTTGTTGCAAGGATCAGTTAGATTGTCAATTTTCGGTGTGAAAAATGCACCATGTCGCATACCTGGCATACCTAAATGGCAAGAATCCTGTTGATAGCAGTCTTGACAGGCCAGTTGTAACTCGCAGGCAATGGACTTGAAATTGGTACGGGTGCTAGTGGATTTTCCTCAATGAATTCCAACTGGTCGCTCAAAATTGACCTACAAAATTGGATGGTGCAATATGGTGCAATACTCAAGAGCGGTTCTGCTGGTTGTGGCATTGTGGTACTAAGAGTCTAAGCAAATCGCGCCTTGTCGGCCGCCTTCAGAGGCAAGGTACCAACCCTCATCAAACAAATCTCTCCTGCGATGGAAAAGGTACCGAACACGGTGCCGTCTGGTAGCTGAACGTGGCACTAAAATGACATGAAAATAAAGGGCTGTAGAAAGTTGTTGAAAGTTGTAGACTGTAGATGATGTTGAATATGTCCATGTTCCAAATCACAATGATTCAACAGGAGGTACTTTGTGAATTCTGGTGGTTTGACTCCACCACTGCTGTCAAGTCCCGGCGCTCCAGGCCTGATGATGCGCATCTTGGCACCACGTTTGAAGGTCATTTCGTCGGAATCTTGAGCAGTGTAGCCATAGAGCGCCTGCACCAACCTCAGACCCGGGATCGGACTCAACTCACAAAACGTGGCCCAAAACAACAACAGTAAACATCAAATCGGAGGCCCGAGTTCACCCCTTCTTGCAACCAACGTTGCTGGCCAGGTCGCAGCCTCAGCAAAGTTGCCATGGTGTGCACTCGTTTTTGTTATGCTTCGGCTTCAAGGTGTTCAAGATTTGTTCAAGTATCCTCAACTCAAAGACCCGAGGAACCGATTCTCTGGATCCTCGACGACTTCCAAGGAGCTTCCGTCTGGATCATGTTCTGATTTCACCTGCGAAGCCGGACTTCACAGGGGTTCGGCTTCGGCAAGAATCCCGGAAGATACCTGTTTCTTGGAGAGAAATTGTAAAAAATATATATATATACTGTTACCTGTTACTGAAATAAATTCCTGATTACATGGGAATGAATCAATGAATCACACCTTGGATGGGCAACTACCTGCTAGATTCTGCTAGATTTCCATGAGGGCAGAGCCCTAAGCCCTAAGCAGCATATTTGTCACCACTCCTGGGCTTCAGGTTTTTTCAAACCCAGGGGACCACTATCCCCGCAATAAAATAGATCCAAAAAACCAATGAAACATCAGAAAACCTGAGGATGAGCTGATGCCTATGGTCTTGTTGGTGGGGCAATCTCTGGATTGACTCTTGAAAAACCTGGAAAATGCTGTGCTATGATGAATCCAACATTTCACCAGTAACCAATTTCTCCCACCACAAATAGCGGTTCTGTTCCCCTTTACAGTATCAAACCCCATCCCATCTCCCCATCCCTATCCTCCACATCCAAGCCTGGAGTCATTTAGTCTTATGCTTCCAGATTTTGTTGCTTTTAAAAAAATTAGCCCCACGTATTCCCATCATTTCCCATATATCCCCACATTCATGAAATTCTTCGAATATCTGCGCCTCTGTGCTCGGCAGAGGGGTCCTTGGTCGCTGTAAATCATGAGGAGTTCGCCATCGTTTCACAAACATACCATTAACTGCGCTGGTACCAAGATGTTTGATGGTTGGATCTGGTTAAATCATGTTAAATCCCCATGAAATCCCCATGAAATACCATGAAATAGCATCCAAAACCAGCCCCAATGGCACAGTTCCTCCATTTTCATCACTGCTCCAGTCGCCCAGCGTCGCGGCTGCGTTCACCGTGTTCACCGTGTTCACCGTGTTCGCCGCGTTGGCGATGGCCACAGCCATGGCCTTTTGATTGGCTGCATGGACGATCAGCTTGGCCAAGGGCTCAAGTGCCACCTGACACACGGGGTGAGTGCTGCTGAGGGTTGGTTGCTGTTGATCATTGCTGGTAGGGACGAACATGAAATGCAATCCACAATGAAATGTTGACCATAGATGCCATAAGTGCAGTAAACCTCTCCGACAAACATCGCATTGAGATGTCTTGGCCGTCATTCTGTGACCACAGGCCCAAATCGACCAGCGAGGACTAGGGTACCAGGGTACCACATGAAAGTCATCCTTAACCATCCTTAACCTAAACTATGGGTCAAGAAAACATGGATTGTGGGCTTGAACACCTTGGGCTTTGGTCCGTGTAGATTTGGATCAAACGTCCAAACCTCTTAAGCCTACGAATTCACTGGGATTGTTGGATGTTTGGTGGGACGTTCAACCATACAATTTTGGAGCCCCAATGGCGCGACACCAAAACTACCAAAAAGCCACCTAAAGCCAACCATTTTTGCAGACCACTTCCACTGTTTTTGTAGATCTTTTGAAGGCAGGCCTTCCTTCCATGTCGTTGGGCTTGGGCCACTACTTCCTTTGCCAACAACCGCGCTTCTGCCACTCGACGTCCTGGTGCCATGTGGTGTGACAAGCGTCCCAGCATGTTAAATTATGCTAAAATTAAGGCAATACCCTGAGGTTTGCCCAGACTCGCAACGAGCATCCGGGCAAGCCATGATGATGATGATGATGATGATGATGATGATGATGATGATGATGATGATGACGATGACGATGACGATGACGATGACGATGACGATGACGATGACGATGACGATGATGATGATGATGATGATGATTATGATTATGATTATGATTATGATTATGATGATGTTGATGATGCTGATGCTGATGCTGATGCTGATGCTGGTGCTGGTGCTGGTGCTGGGGCTGGTGCTGGGGCTGGTGGTGATGATGATGATTTTCATATCTTGTTGAAACCCTACAAGAAACCCTAGTGACTGTATGGATAATTGTTTCATGGGGCCGGGGGACTTTGATATCTTCAGAAGCCCCATGACTGTATGGTTAATTGTTCCATTGGGCCGGGGGACTTTGATACTTATGGTTAATTCCATATGATATGTAGAAGCGACATGTTCTGGTTAACACCCTAGCAACATAATTGAACGTAAAAATCATTCCCGTTGTTTGACGTCGTACAGAATCCCCTGAAATTTACTCTATTCTGGGCTTGGGCAAGCCTCGGGGTCTGTGTATAAAATTATGTTAAATCAGACACATTCTAAGGCATTCTAAGATATTCCAAGTATAGCTACCCCAAACTGGGGCCATCTGATACGTAACTGGGGTACTGGGTATACTGAGTCTAGATTGCAGTTTCACATGTTACAGGAAAATCGTTGGGATCGGGATCTTCGCATTTCGAGATGAAAAAACAACACTTTGAAACACAACCATCAGGAATGCGGAATATGTGGGTTTTAGGTTACAAACGAATTTTGTGGATTGAGCCCCTGTGTATAATGGGATTCCGTAAAATGGGAATATGTACTGTATATTGTCGTTTTACTGGTCTTGTGTGAAATTCAAATAACGTATACTGGTTGCAACCCATCATATAACTGCCATAATAGTTTAACAGATCTACAAACCAGCCTGTATACATGATATTGTGGCGGTTGCAGGGGATGTCTGAATGCCAATATGCATGTCAAATATATATATATAAAGCAGGAAAACATTGGAAACTAATTGAAACCATGGATATTTCATGATATCACCTTCAGTTCAAAGCACATCTACGGAGGTGATGAGTCCGTAGTCAAGCACTGGATGACATGACATGAAATGTTGGGGTTTCTCCATGGAGTGGGATGGATTTCTATCCAGGGTTGGCAATGTTGGAGAAACTGGGCTTTTCACAGATGGGTGTAGGATTTACATCATTGCATATCTTACAACCATTATGGCTCATTATGGCTTATTGAATAGCATATCATAGCATGTTGTAGCATATACCCTCTGGTTATTTAACATAGCCATGGAAAATGGCCCATAGAAATAGATGGTTTACCTATTAATAGCATGCTGGATCTTTCCATGACTATGTTAGTCATAACCAGATGATAATCACCATTAATTCACTATTAATCACCATTAACCATAGATATTCCCATATTAAATCACCATAGATATAACCATTAAATAACCAGATGATATGATCATATTAAATCCCATTAAACCGCCATTTTCCTATGGTTTTTCTATGGTTTTCCTATGATCATATTACTGTTACAGTATGACCCTGAACGTTCAGAACGCACGCTGCAGATCGCTGCACCTCGAGACTGGGCACTGAGTACAATGCCCGCAACCAGCTCCGTAAGCTCCGCAAGGGCCTCCTCAACACGAAGTCTCCCAAGTTCAATCCCTGGTTCATATATGGTTCATATGTGGTTAATATATGGTTAATATTAATGGTTAATATATGGTTAATATATGGTTCATATGTGGTGAATATATGGTTAATATTAATGGTTAATATATGGTTAATATATGGTTAATATATGGTTAATATATGGTTAATATATGGTTAATATATTGCTAATATATGGTTAATATATGGTTCATATATGGTTAATATATGGTTCATATATGGTTCATATATGGTTCATATATGGTTCATATATGGTTCATATATGGTTAATATATGGTTAATATATGGTTAATATATGGTTAATATATGGTTAATATATGGTTCATATATGGTTAATATATGGTTAATATATGGTTAATATATGGTTAATATATGGTTAATATATGGTTAATATATGGTTAATATATGGTTAATATATGGTTATATGGTTAATATATGGTTAATATATGGTTAATATATGGTTAAATATATGGTTAATATATGGTTAATATATGGTTATATTTGGTTAAATATATGGTTAATATATGGTTAATATATGGTTAATATATGGTTAATATATGGTTAATATATGGTTAATATATGGTTAATATATGGTTCATATATGGTTAATATATGGTTAATATATGGTTAAATATATGGTTAATATATGGTTAATATATGGTTAATATATGGTTAATATATGGTTAATATATGGTTAATATATGGTTAATTATGGTTATATATGGTTAAATATATGGTTAATATATGGTTAATATATGGTTAATATATGGTTAATATATGGTTGATATATGGTTAATATATGGTTAATATATGGTTAATATATGGTTAATATATGGTTAGTATATGGTTAATATATGGTTAATATATGGTTAATATATGGTTAATATATGGTTAATATATGGTTCATATATGGTTAATATATGGTTAATATATGGTTAATATATGGTTAATATATGGTTAATATATGGTTCATATATGGTTAATATATGGTTAATATATGGTTCATATATGGTTAATATATGGTTAATATATGGTTCATATATGGTTAATATATGGTTAATATATGGTTCATATATGGTTAATATATGGTTAATATATGGTTAATATATTGTTAATATCTGGTTAATATATAGTTAATATATGGTTAATATATGGTTAATATATGGTTCATAGATTGTTAATATATGGTTAATATATGGTTAATATATGGTTAATATATGGTTAATATATGGTTAATATATGGTTAATATATGGTTAATATATGGTTAATATATGGTTAATATATGGTTAATATATGGTTAATATATGGTTAATATATGGTTAATATATGGTTAATATATGGTTTAATATCTGGTTAATATATGGTTAATATATGGTTAATATATGGTTCATATATGGTTAATATATGGTTAATATATGGTTAATATATGGTTAATATATGGTTAATATATAGTTAATATATGGTTAATATATGGTTAATATATGGTTAATATGGTTAATATATGGTTAATATATGGTTAATATATGGTTAATATATGGTTAATATATGGTTAATATATGGTTAATATATGGTTAATATCTGGTTAATATATGGTTAATATATGGTTAATATATTGTTAATATATGGTTCATATATGGTTAATATATGGTTCATATATGGTTAATATATGGTTAATATATGGTTAATATATGGTTAATATATGGTTAATATATGGTTAATATATGGTTAATATATGGTTAATATATGGTTAATATATGGTTAATATATGGTTCATATATGGTTCATATATGGTTAATATATGGTACTTTATGGAGTTAATAATGGTTAATATAGGTTAATATATGGTTAAATATATGTGTTAATATATGGTTACATATTGATAATATATGGTAATATATGGTCAATTCTGGTATAATATAGTTCATATATGGTTCATATATGGTGCATATATGGTCATATATGGTTATATATGGTGAATATATGGTTAATATATGGTTTCATATATGGTTAATATATGTAATATATGGTTAATATATGGTTAATATATGGTTAATATATGGTTAATATATGGTTAATATATGGTTAATATATGGTTAATATATGGTTAATATATGGTTAATATGTGGTTAATATGTGGTTAATATGTGGTTAATATGTGGTTAATATATGGTTAATATGTGGTTAATATATGGTTAATATATGGTTAATATGTGGTTAATATATGGTTAATATATGGTTAATATATGGTTAATATATGGTTAATATATGGTTAATATATGGTTAATATACGGTTAATATATGGTTAATATATGGTTAATATATGGTTAATATATGGTTAATATATGGTTGATATATGATTAATATATGGTTAATATATGGTTAATATATGGTTAATATATGGTTAATATATGGTTGATATATGGTTAATATATGGTTGATATATGGTTAATATATGGTTAATATATGGTTAATATATGGTTAATATATGGTTCATATATGGTTAATATATGGTTCATATATGGTTAATATATGGTTCATATATGGTTAATATATGGTTAATATATGGTTAATATATTGTTCATATATGGTTAATATATGGTTAATATATGGTTCATATATGGTTAATATATTGTTAATATATGGTTAATATATGGTTAATATATGGTTAATATATGGTTAATATATGGTTCATATATGGTTAATATATGGTTAATATATGGTTCATATATGGTTAATATATTGTTAATATATGGTTAATATATTGTTAATATATGGTTAATATATTGTTAATATATGGTTAATATATGGTTAATATATGGTTCATATATTGTTAATATATGGTTCATATATGGTTAATATATTGTTAATATATGGTTAATATATTGTTAATATATGGTTAATATATGGTTAATATATGGTTAATATATGGTTAATATATGGTTAATATATGGTTAATATATGGTTAATATATGGTTAATATATGGTTAATATATTGTTAATATATTGTTAATATATGGTTAATATATTGTTAATATATGGTTAATATATTGTTAATATATGGTTAATATATGGTTAATATATTGTTAATATATTGTTAATATATGGTTAATATATGGTTAATATATGGTTAAGATATGGTTAATATGGTTAATATATTGTTAATATATTGTTAATATATGGTTAATATATGGTTAATATATGGTTATTATATTGCTAATATATTGTTAATATATTGTTAATATATGGTTAATGTATTGTTAATATATGGTTAATATATTGTTAATATATGGTTAATATATGGTTAATATATGGTTAATATATGGTTAATATATGGTTAATATATTGTTAATATATTGTTAATATATTGTTAATATATGGTTAATATATGGTTAATATATGGTTAATATATGGTTAATATATTGTTAATATATGGTTAATATATGGTTAATATATGGTTAATATATGGTTAATATATGGTTAATATATGGTTAATATATGGTGAATATACTGTTAATATATGGTTAATATATGGTTAATATATTGTTAATATATGGTTAATATATTGTTAATATATGGTTAATATATTGTTAATATATGGTTAATATATGGTTAATATATTGTTAATATATTGTTAATATATGGTTAATATATGGTTAATATATGGTTAATATATGGTTAATATATGGTTAATATATTGTTAAGATATGGTTAATATATTGTTAATATATGGTTAATATATGGTTAATATATGGTTAATATATGGTTAATATATGCTTAATATATTGTTAATATATGGTTAATATATTGTTAATGTATTGTTAATATATGGTTAATATATTGTTAATATATGGTTAATATATGGTTAATATATGGTTAATATATGGTTAATATATGGTTAATATATTGTTAATATATTGTTAATATATTGTTAATATATGGTTAATATATTGTTAATATATGGTTAATATATGGTTAATATATTGTTAATATATGGTTAATATATGGTTAATATATGGTTAATATATGGTTAATATATGGTTAATATATGGTTAATATATTGTTAATATATGGTTGATATATTGTTAATATATGGTTAATATATTGTTAATATATGGTTAATATATTGTTAATATATGGTTAATATATTGTTAATATATGGTTAATATATGGTTAATATATTGTTAATATATTGTTAATATATGGTTAATATATGGTTAATATATGGTTAATATATGGTTAATATATGGTTAATATATTGTTAAGATATGGTTAATATATTGTTAATATATGGTTAATATATGTTAATATATGGTTAATAGATTTTGTTAACATATGGTTAATATATTGTTAATATATGGTTAAGTTATGGTTAATATATTGTTAATATATGGTTAATTTATAGTTAATATATTGTTAATATATGGTTAATTTATGGTTAATATGTGGTTAATATATGGTTAATAGATGGTTAATATATGGTTCATATATTGTTAATGGTTAATAGATTTTGTGAATATTTGGTTAATATATTGTTAACATATGGTTAATATATTGTTAATATATGGTTAATATATGGTTAATTTATGGTTAATATATTGTTAATATATGGTTAATATATTGTTAATATATGGTTAATATATTGTTAATATATGGTTAATATATGGTTAATATATGGTTAATATATGGTTAATATATTGTTAATATATTGTTAATATATTGTTACTATATGGTTAATATATGGTTAATATATGGTTAATATATGCTTAATATATTGTTAATATATGGTTAATATATTGTTAATATATGGTTATATGAACCATATATTAACCATATATTAACCACATATTAACAATATATTAACCATATATTAACAATATATTAACCATATATTAACAATCTATTATATTGTTAATATATGGTTAATATGGTTAATATATGGCTAATATATGGTTAATATATGGTTCATATATGGTTAATATATGGTTAATATATGGTTAATATATTGCTAATATATGGTTAATATTGTTAATATACGGTTAATATGGTCAATATCTGGTTAATATATGGTTAATATATTGTTAATATATGGTTAATATAGGGTTAATATATGGTTAATATATTGTTAATATATGGTTCATATATGGTGAATATATGGTTAATATATGGTTAATATATGGTTAATATATGGTTAATATATGGTTCATATATGGTTAATATATGGTTAATATATGGTTAATATATGGTTAATATATTGTTAATATATGGTTCATATATGGGTAATATATGGTTCATATATGGTTAATATATGGTTAATATATTGTTAATATATGGTTAATATATTGTTAATATATGGTTAATATATGGTTCATATATGGTTAATATATGGTTAATATATACGGTTAATATATACGGTTAATATATACGGTTAATATATACGGTTAATATATACGGTTAATATATACGGTTAATATATACGGTTAATATGGTTAATATATGGTTAATATATGGTTAATATATGGTTCATATATGGTTCATATATGGTTCATATATGGTTAATATATGGTTAATATATTGTTAATATACGGTTAATATATGGTTAATATATTGTTAATATATGGTTAATATATTGTTAATATATGGTTAATATATGGTTAATATATTGTTAATATATGGTTAATATATTGTTAATATATGGTTAATTTATGGTTAATATATTGTTAATATATGGTCAATATATGGTTAAAATATGGTTAATATATTGTTAATATATGGTTAATAGATTTTGTTAACATATGGTTAATATATTGTTAATATATGGTTAATATATGGTTCATATATGGTTAATATATGGTTAATATATGGTTGATATATGGCTAATGATGGTTAAGTTAAGAATCTGGTTGGGGGTTTCAACCCCTCTGAAAAATATGAGTTAGTCAGTTGGGAGTATTATTCCCAATGGAAAAATAAAAAAATGTTCCGGACCACCAAACAGAAAACCATGGTGTCATTGGTTGAATTTAAGCCCTCATTCTGAGAGGGTTGGAAGCTACACCCAAAACTCGCATGATCGAAAGGATATAAAACCCAAATATTTCGGGCCTGTTTGAAGTTTGAAGTGGAATGCAAGCCTTGAACACAAGCACAGCAGATTTCCTAAGTAGCCTCCTCCAAAAAGCTGCAACTATGTCCGGGAGGGATGGTGTTTTCAGTGACCTCAAGACTTTTCCAAACTGTTCAAGACGTTGTCGAAAAGGCATTGAGTCCCACCATGTCCCACCCCTTCGCCTCATCAGTTACACTTTCGTCAGCACAAAGAGCATCAGCACCTCTCAATGTCTCAAAATTAAATAATTTGGCAGTTGATCCAAGTCCTGCCATTGGTTGCCAGGTTTTCTACAGCTTTCTCTGAGGATGAACATGGATGAACCAGCTTGAGAATCCGAACCCAACAACAGCGCGGAGGAGCTCTGGCCTGCAATGGTATTCCTGACATGTGCCATGCGGAATCCACACCGGAAACCACAACGGAATTCACACGTGCTGTAAACACGTGTTATCCAAGCTTGATTAGTCCATTCGAAAGTGATGTCAAATCCTGGTGTCTGAACGAAGGAAACAAGATGGAACAACTACGTTTCAGCCTGGAGGAGATGAGTCTCATGGCCTGATTTGATGGGCCTTTGATGTTTGCTTCAGGAGATAAACAGCTAGTCAAAGGCATCAATTTCGGTGCAGCCCGGCCAATCTCCAGCCTTTCAAAAGGTTCAGGGTCCTCTTTCTGCCTCAGATTCAGACAATAGGAAACCGGCAGCTACAGAGACGTGGGGGTATATCAACACTTGGGTATCCTTGTTAAAATCTCTAAGATGACTAGAGTTGATGATATGTTGGGATATTTAGCTACAAGTATCCAAGACCAGGTGATGTAGCTCTGACCCACATGTGCAAAATCACCCACCGCCGAATAGTTTGCGCCCCATTGCAGCGTTTGTTTGTTTCCCACATGCCTGCAGTATTCCAATTTGCTGGCGAATTGATGCTATTCGCATCACTGATCACATAATAACTGGGACCATTAAAGCAGCATGATGAGCCTTCAAAATCTTCGAAGTTGACCATCAAATCGATGGAACCAATCCACCAAACAAATCCATGGCCTTGGGTTGGGTTGATCTTCAACCAGCTGCTCACCCACAGCACGAAGTAGCGATGCCTTACTGGAAAATCTCTGTGAGCGTTTAAAAGGACAACCTAGTCATCCAATAGATACAGTATGTCACCTGAAATTTGGGACCCCCAAGAATCCACTGAAAGAATTCCAATATATATATATATACTATAAGTGGAGACCTTGCCGATTCTTTTGACAAAGATTTCACAACGTGATGCCCTGATGCCCCAAAAACGAAGCCATCATGTCTTCGATCAATGCCTGGAAGCCAAGTCCAGCGGTTTGTAGAGTGCGGCTGGGTGTACTTTTTGTAGGGTTTGAAAGATGTTCAAAACATTTAAAAGCCCCAAAAAAAAATAAGATGTCAGTCATCAGTAGTCATTAGTTATGTAAAGGTTGCCCACCTGTGCTATAGCCGGTTGATGTTGGCTATCCGACATGAACATGCGAATATTTCAGCAAGGTCACCTCAGCTACCTGCAGAAACCGCTGCAAGAAATCGATCACAGCTGGAAGATATCGGGGAACTGAAAAAGTCTTCCAAGAAGTTCCAATAATTTCCAATATTCCATTTCATTCTGTTTCATTCCGGACCTCTGGTTGTCCCACACGTGCAGATTGAAATATATTGAAATGATCTGCTGTTCAATGATGCAGTATGAGACTGTAGGATTGAGATTGATGGAGGTGACTGGTCACTGGCACAATAAATTTGATGTGGTTTTTCATCTTATAAAACACTTCCCACTCTTAACATTTGTGTATAGCCAGTATGCAAAACCCAACATGACATTCTCTCTGGTCTGTGGGCCTGACATGACTGATGTGACACGATATGAGACGATGTGAGCGGGCCTCTCTTCCTCTTTGTTGCGCTTGGAACACCACTTCTCTCGCGAGCAGATGAGCTTCTGCTGCCTGGCGTCCTCACAGAAGGGGAACCAAACCCAATTCTTAAACCCAATTCTTCCCGAGGAAAATCGGTTGCCGGGAGCGGTGCTTCGGGGGGCCGTCCGTCACCCTGGTCGGCAGCCATCAAATTCAAGATTATATTCATCAACACCATCAACATCAACATCATCATCAACATCATCATCATTATAATCATCATCATCATCAACAACAACAACATCAACACCATCATCATCATCATCATCACCAACAACATCAACACCATCATCATCATCATCACCACCAACAACATCAACACCATCATCATCATCATCATCATCAACATCATCATCATCATCATCAACAACAACAACATCAACACCATCATCATCATCATCATCACCAACAACATCAACACCATCATCATCATCATCATCATCATCACCAACAACATCAACACCATCATCATCATCATCAACAACAACAACAACATCAACACCATCATCATCATCATCATCACCAACAACATCAACACCATCATCATCATCGTCATCATCATCATCATCAACATCAACATCAACATCAACACCATCATCATCATCGTCATCATCATCATCATCAACATCAACATCAACATCAACACCATCATCATCATCATCAACAACATCAACATCAACATCAACATCAACACCATCATCATCATCATCATCATATTATTCTTCTTCTTCATCATCATCAACATCATCATCATCATCATCATCATCATCATCGCCATCACCAAAACGGTCATCATCGTCTTACTATATAATCATGAAAATGCTCTGCTAACGCCGCGCGACCGCGCGGTCAACAGTGCAGTCAGCTCGAAGAAAAAATCAGAAGGCAACAAAGAATCTTCTAGCATGGCTAATCTAACATGGAGCAGAGAGAGAGAGAAAGAGAGAGAAAAAAAACTGCAAATGCGCCACAGATCAAGAAGAGAGCAACAAAAACGAAGTCTAGCAGCATGTGGATACCACGTCCGCAACATAAATTATCAAGTATGCCAGCACATCTACAAGTTGACACAAATTTTCACGTGCAAGAGCGTAGCACCAAGCAGCTGTGCAACTACAAGTGAATGTTATATGATACATGGCAGCAAGTAGGTCCTACTGAGTTGAGTAGATTGAGTAGATGTGCAAGTGCAAGTGAACCTTGTCAATCCCACCCTCGACGCCCCACCCACCCACCCCCAACCCAACGCGCAACGTAGCAGTATCTGCAACGTAGGTACTCAACACAATATCATGCAAAGTCGCCATCCATGATACGCATGTCCCAAAAGTCAGAATCAACAGAGAATCAACAGAATTTTGGTTGCCATCTCAAAATCACTAGACGACCTGCCCACCCGAAGCTCAGTTCCAATGGACAGAGCGCACAGCTACAACCATCAGAGGGGACCTCTGAATCTTTGGCCGTCCTTGTTGCTGGGCGCGAAGCACCAGTTCCCGGACCAAGCTCTCCTGTGGCGACGCAAAACACAGAAGCTTCTTGTGGCAAACGATGGACGGGGCGTTCCCTGTTGCCGGAGAATCTACCAAGCTGGCATATTTCCAAGAAGCTAAACCCACTCTGCACATGGATCCGAATCTTTAGGAAAGGTCTTTATGGAAAAAAATATAGTTGAAGGTCTCTTTGTTATTCTTTATTCAATATTTAAATAATATATTTGATACGAGCAGGATGAAATGAAATACCTCTACAGACTCATGAGTTGTAGAACAGCATGTGTTGATTCAACTGTAGTTCATCCCAAAGGATATAATACCTCGTGTTCAACACCTTGTGGCCAAGGATAAATCGGCTGACCCAGACCCAGACCTGCTTGGCACAGCTGATAGAGATACCAACAATTTCTTGTGACACAAAGGACACAAGGGGGTCACCCTCTGGAGGAATCACATGTGATGATTCTAGCTATCAAGCTATCAATATGTGTTTATTCTGCCTGCTAACAATCACAATATCCGGGATTGTGGGGAGCTCGTTTCGCGAGTTGGATTCATGCAAATCTGAGGTGCATGGGAAGTCACAATTGATTTACCAATTGATTTACCAATTGATTTACCTCGGTTAAACAACCGTACGGGGGTGTCCTAAAATAGGGCTACCCCAAATCATCGAAGTTCTTCGACCACGGTGACCCCCGTTCAGGTTTCACCTTAACGGACGCCACCTGAACTTCATCGGCTGTCTCATCCTCATCAGGATCTTGGTCCACATCTGACCTGCCTTCACCTGGCACTTTTCTTCCGCACCATCTGTTGGAAGCGCTTCACTTCAAGATACTTGAATTTGATTCAATTACATATGCTAATCATCAGCAATAAACCCCAGAATGTTATAGATTTGAAATCCTGCAACCCAAACTACCCAAACGCTCCTAGATACCGTGCCCCAGTTTTGCAGAGACCTTTTCCCACAACAAATACAGCTGAGGCACACGCCAACATGGATCAGACATTTGAAGCTAACTTGAGTCTTTCACTCACCCATTCAACCATATCTAATTGGTGGTTTCAACCCCCCTGAAAAACATTAGTCAGTTGGGATGATTATTCCCAATATATGCAAAAATAAAAAATGTTCCAAACCACCAACCAGATATTGGCTTGTGGGCAAAAGAAAAACGGAAAACCACATGGAACGTTTCTGAAACGACCAAGTTTTCCCTGCGTCCCACACCTCTGGACTCTGGCCTGACAAGGGGCCAGCAAAAAGTCCGAAATCGCTGAGCAGCTTCCAAATTGTCCAAAGTTTGTGTGTTTTGAACCAACACAAAGTAAGGACATAACCAACCACCCAGGTTTAACCAACAAATATGTGGAATAGATATGGATATGTGGGTTGTTTGAGCAATTCAACTCGGTATATACTCTCGATATACTTGTAACCAACTGTTGGTTCTTCTAATTGGTTGATGGGGACTTCCATAAAATATTGGAGTACCCATAAAACCAGTTCAGCTAGAATAGCCCAATGTATCGAGACAACACGAAATAGCCATCGACCCTTGACCCTGTTGGGTACGGTGCTTAAAATGGGCTGATCATACCAAACAGGGATAGGAAATGGCGTTTGTTTGAAAACACCAACGTGATCCAACGTGTAGGGTACAGCTTTGGAATAGTTCGGATAGTTTGTGACCAGACAGTTTGTTCATTGTTCCTTCTTCTACTATCTGGTTTGGCAGGAAAGCTTTGAGGCTTAGCCATGCCATTATTTTTACATGTCTCCCTTCTGAAGTTGGTGTAGCTCAAGTCTTCCATTCCAGGCCATGCCAAATTGTGCGAAACCGGGCCTTTCAGCCGGGACCTCTGCAGGCGTTTCAGGCATTTCGGTCCTCGGCTTCCAAGCGTGACATGACGGACATGACGGACAGGTGATGGTTGATGCAGAGGTGCATTTTTTTGTATCAGAAATGTCTTGCAAGGTGTTAGAATATGCTACAGTATGATGTCTACAATGTAATATTGTATAGAATTATATAGCCCGGGAAAGGTCCGTAGATGTGCATTGATTTGCATCCATTCGCAGCAATCTACTTATGACTTATACGCTGATATGCTGGTATGGGTGTTGAGTTGTGACACCTGGCACCTGCTGCCTGGGTCGCAACTAACTACATCAACATCTGAAACCAATTTCGGGGACGAAAGTTCGGCTGCAATTCTGCCAGCTCTGCAGTCGAGCTTCTGCTCGGCATTGCTTTGCGCAGAGACCTAAAATCGCTGGTTTTGAAGATGCAGCGGGTCAACATATTACCATTGGCAGCTACCATTTTATTCATAGTGATTTACCATAGTGACTTGAAGTTCTTGAAATCACCACTATTTCTCAACCATAGTAAAAGCTCAAACAAATCATTTCGCTTGGTTCATCACGCTGGCACCAGATGACTTGGAAGAAACATGCTTGAAGAAAGTAAATGGATCACAGGTAATTCGGTTTGTTGGTCCGAATCTTGTGGTTCTTTGGTTCGGCCTCAACCTGCGCATGAATGCAGTTTGGGATCATCCCGGTAAGAAAATCGATAGAAAACTCCGGTTGACGTGATGGACCACACCCGGCTGCGTTGCCTCTGATTGATCCACGGCGTTCGAAGGTTCAAGGCCTCTACGACCTAAGCAGACTGGCTGCAGGCTGAGGCAAGAAACTTGCCGCACTTGCCCAGACAATGATGCCTATGGGCCATATGGGCCATATGGGCCATATGGGCATGGATCTTTGGCTTGTTTCGGTGTTTGGATAGGCAATTGAGCTGACAAGAAGCACGTATTTCTCAACGAACTTTTGCACTTGTCTACACCAAATGAACTTGGTTCAGATCACGGTCCGCACAGGCTCTGGGCGACCCGTCCTTCGGCCACCTGGATCTGTGGTGCATCCACATCGACCCTCGCGTCAGCCTTATCAGCCTCATCAGCCACATTCTCATCGTTCTGTTCGAGCTGGTCACTCAGCAATTGGTGCGGGAGAGGCACCTGATGTCGCCAGGGATGACTTGTCATCTAAAACTGCCCACAACCAAAAAGCAGCTAAGGATGTTCCAATGCTTGCAGTCACAAGGGATATTTTGCTTCAAATCTAGTGATCCACAGGCCGGTAGTGTTCATTCTCACAATAGGATTCGCCCAGAAAATCTATTCAAAACTTCTTCAGGTCGGTTTTCTTCACAGACACCACCCTGGAAATATGTACAGAAAAGTGGCGTTTCAACCAACAGAGCGGCGTTTTCTGATGTTCACAGATTCAGAAGCCCACCGTCCCCACCGTATCCTGAAAAATCCACCGGATCGCCCAGGGACAAGGGAGGAATCCGGTGCCAGGAGCTGGATCTCACGATCATCTGCAGTGATGTTCCGGTGTTTCCAACGGCCAAATAAAAATGGTAGCAACATGTAACAACATGTGTCATCAAAGTCATCAATAATTTGAAGTGTACTCAGGTCCAACCCTTTCGATGTTGAGCTTTGCTGCTTATGGTGTGATGTTCCATGATGTTCCATGATGTTCCATTGTGTCAATGTTCACCATGCTGTTTGCCAACATCGGTGATCCTTCAGCTGGGCGAAGCCTTCAAGGGCACCGACCAACAAGCGCAGAGACAGAGCTTTGCCGTCCGACAGAGCCCAGAGTGCCACAGCCACACGGAGGGCATCCTGGTGGCAACAGCGACATCTTGTCATCATCTTGTGACTCATTGGAGCAAAAAAGTCTACGTGAACAAACCCAAATTCATATAATTCATGAAATGCTCAGCTACAACCATTATCATCGCTATCATTTGCAGGCCCACTTCTGCCCAGCATGGCCGAGTTATGCCACAACGGTGAATCAGCCCCTGGCAGAGTCACCGATAATCAAATGTCCTCCTCGCTGAGACCTAACCTCTGTGCCACATTGCAGAGCTCCGTCTGGGACTGGATTTCACCTGACAAAAGCATAAAATCGAAGCAATAACAATATTAGATGGATGTCCTCCGGTTGTGTGATGAAATATGGTGCATATTTGGTGAAAAATGTGTATGCATTTATCATATGTGTGTATATATATATATATGTGTGTAATGAAATCTTCAAACCAAGGCGGTTTGAGTGCCTGAGCCACACATGGCTTCCAACCAGCGCTGGGCGTTTGCCGCACGAACCTCGGGCCACGGTGAAGCTACGACACACTCAGCCAGCTCCTTGCATCTACAACATCTCCTAGGACACTTTGGATTGCAATAGATGCATTACCATGCACATATACATTTCGCAAACAATCATCCCCCAGTGGATATATGAGAAGCCCAACAGCCCAACATTTGGAACATGAAACAGTCAAGAAGCTCGAGGTTTGGATTGTCTCCAATGCAGTTTTGCATTGTTTGGAAGCGCAGTCTTAACAAAAAACATCAAAAAACAAACCCTGCCCTTTCTGATATTTAGACATTCTAAACTTGGGATATTCCTGAGTCTGAAGACGTCTTCAACTTTTCATTGCAGCATTTTGCATAGAAATACATTCAATGACAGTATCATCGCAGAAGCCATCTTTCATCGGAGCTGCAAAGTGCGAGCCCAGCGCGTCGCTCCAAAGCTCAAGGCATTGTCCAATCTCCTCGAAAACCCTGGAACTGGGAGGAGACAAGATTGGTACAAAGATGCAACAAGTACACTAAGCACACAAACAAAACAATCATCACAATCATGGCAACTAGACATCTACTTTACTTCCTTGTGGATTATTTATATATATATATATATATCTGTGTATGTAAATATATGTATATATATATATACTGTGTTTCACAAATTTTCTTGCCCCGTCACCTAACGGCAATGCCGCTCATATCGTGGCCTTAGTATATATATATATATACACATTTACATACCTGGAACCCAAATGACCCTTGCATTGGAGGTTGAGTTGGGATCTATTCAAAGATTTGCAGTGAAAAAGCACAAGGCAGCCAAATAGTGCTAAATAACCCAATGTTATCCAATGTTCCTTTATCTTGATCCAGTAGAGATGTCTCAATGCTTCCGATCTTGATCCGGGACCCTAGGGATGCCTAGCCACAAGCTTCACATCCGAGCCTGCGACGAGGCTAAATTTCACCCCTCAGTTGTGTCCTGCAAAGGACTCTCTCGTTCAGGCCTGGCCCGATCCGATCCTATCTACATCTGACATTGCGGGAAGCGGCTGAAAGCCTGGAAACCGATGGTCAACCCCAAGATGCAAAAGTTTTGACAAATGAAACAAGATTTCTCGTTTTGAAAAAAAAAAACTAAATGAATAAGCTAAATGAATGTAATAGAATACATGTTGAATAATATTATATATATATATACTATAAACATTATATGCATATTTTTTTCTTTGCCTCAAGGCTCTCGTTTTGAGCTTCCGATGAGAGTCCTAAGATGATTTCCTGCTGGCCATGGCTGCGCCTTAGGTCTTTGCCATGCCCACCTGAACCTGGCGGAATCGTTACACGAAAAAAGCTTAAGATAGGATCGTCCTAAGCAGAAATTGAATCTAATTTACCTGAGATCAATTCAAATCAGACCCCAGGCTCACCCTATTTACATCTGGCTCAACAGTATTCACCCCAAACTTGGATGGTTTTCCCTCTAGGTTAATCCAAAAAATGGCAAGGAAAAGAGCTCTCCCTCTCTCTCTCTCTCTCTCCCCTAGCAATAGCACGTTCAAAGATGCAAACAACATCAATGTCATAAATGGAGGTTTCCTGAAGAAGAGGTACCCCCAAATCATCCATTTAAAATAGGATTTTCCATTATAAACCATCCAGCTTTAACAGGGTACCCCCATTTATGGAAACCCCCCAAATCATCCATAAATATACACGAATAGAATCAAGATCAACAAGTTGACTATAGTGACTATAGAGGGTGTTTTTCGTTTCGCAGCTTTCTTCACCGCCTTTGGATCGACTTCGGTCTGCTCCACAGGTCCAAGGCCGGTCCTGGCAGATGCCGGGAAAAACCTGGAAATCTGCAGGAAAATGATGAATCTTATCCTATTTTGATGTGGCCAATTCGTAAATATGTTGGTTAAAATGGTCGAAATGTATTAAAACATGTTAAAACATATTAAAACGATGATGAACTGGTGAACTTGGGGGGTAAGCCTAGTTTCAGAGAAACCCACAGTTTCAACAGGAAGATCTTCCAAAATATGGCCGTGGGTAGTGAATGTTGGGGGTCCAGTAAGTTTTGATGTGGGCATGCTGTGCAAATTCATCTCACGATCCATTCAGGTGATGATTGAAGTCCAAACTGGGATATTTATCGATCTCTGAAGCATACCGCTGAAGGATGTTTCTACCACCTGGTTACCACCTTCAAGTCTTGAATGACAGGAACGTACTGGGATCACTGTCGACTCCCAACGTCACAAGGTGTCACATTGAACATGTTGATCAAGCCCAGTTCTGACAGCTGTGGTGTCTTAGAAGGAGGAATGGAGAATGATGGAAATAGAAGTTGATAGAAGTTGATAGAAGCTGTATCAAAGTTTCAAACCACGTGAACGCCATCTATCCAGGTTCCATTTGGTGGTCTAGCTGGTGGGTTGTATTTATCAAAGCTGTTCCAAGGTCACATGTCGGACAATGGACAAGACAAACCATGGTGGTATACAAGTTATAAAAGGATGTAAAAGCTATGTATATCTTCTGATATCTTCAAATATCTTCGGATATCTTCAGTCCATGGCTTCAAAAAGGGACCTTAGTGTTTACGGCCAGGTCCTCTAGCAGAGGAGTCTCGCGAGTGCTGGGCCTGGGGTATGGCAGAACCTTTCTGATGGATTGATGGATTGGCCACCGTTTGTAATTTATTGAATCATTAATGATCTATGTGATCATCTACTATGGACTTTTGTATGATTATGTCTAGATTATATCATGTGCAGAGTACCTACTGTTGCTGCAGATCCAACTGATATCCAAGCGAGCTGTGGCTGTTATGATTGTGGGGCACAATAAATTCAAGAATTCAGGGACCATCCAACCGGAAACGAAGGTTGGGACGATCCACGACCGACAGAATCTTAAATGCACTAGGCATTTCCAAAAGTCCAAATCAGACCCCGATCCCACTTGAAACTAAAGTATGGATAGTATGGACTCTTGTCCGGCAAATTCACTTATATTTACAGTACTTCCCTGTTTGAGGCACATCTATGTTTGAGGAAAACTAGGGAACTAACATAGCTATGGATGCTATGGATGCTATGGATGCTATGGGACATCCATCCCCAGAATGCACGGTGGATTTTCCATCACTGTACGTTTGCAGATAATCTCATTCTCAACCGCAGGATCCATTCCGACGCCTTGTGGTCTTTGCACTGCCCGGCGTGGCTTGCTTCTCTCGCTTCACAAAAACCCGGCGTGGCGCGGCGCGGCGCGGTAGCGGCGAGGCGGGTGGCGCGGGAAGCGCTTTGACAGGCGTGGCTCTTCTGGGCCTGCCGCGGTAGGGGGCGCTGTGTATCCATATCCTCTGTATCAGTATCCAAATGTACGTCTATATACAGTAATTCTATATGTGAATGTATGTATACATCGTATAGTCATATCCAACTACTATGTGCTGCATACATTATTTATATATATATACAGATTATATACATAATATTTATATAGTATTATATATCATACTATATATCATACTATATGTGATATTATATATAATATCATATATAATTAAATATTATAATAATATATATATATGATATATAAACAAAGAGAGGGAGAAAAAACGTGTAAAGACATATGCATATACCAATCTGTGTATCGAAGGTGCACATTTCTGACCTACGGATTTCTTCAAAAATGCGTCCAGTGCCGGTGCTGAGACCCTTGCGCCACCAGCGAGAAAGCTTGAAGGTATGGGTCTCCTGGGATGTGAAAATCCTTTAAATAAAAAAACTGGGTCCTGGATATCCCAAGCTTAGGAAGCTGGAAGTCAACGGTATAGCCACACCAAGTGATTCAGTTGTGAAGGGCTTCAGAGCAAGTCTTGTCTGCAAATGGTCCACCAAAAACATGCAAAAACCATCTGAATCTTGCAATCCTTTCGGATCCTTTCGGATCCTTTCGGGGGCAATCTGCCTGGTAAGTTCTCAATCTTGGTGAACCGGACCATTGCGGGTTGGTCACGGTCCTCGGACCTCTTTCTCGTAACCCTTTACTTGGGGACTACGGATCCTATTCGCACTCCATGGTTTTGGGGTTGTCCGATCTGAACACATCCGCTTCACTCATGAAAACGACCTCTGTGACACCCCCCTCCCTATCCCTCCCTCACCTACGGAACGTTCTGCTGCTTTGAGCTCCAAGTAATGTCGGTATTTCACCAGCTTCTCTCGCAAGGCTCCTGCGCAACTCTGTTCGAAAAGGTGGGATAACCGCCATCACCGAAAAATGCTATGGCTGAGTAACTGGGATGGAAAAAGAACACCAGTAGCTACTGCTACTTGGTGCGGTGGCTCCTGTGACATGATTCTTTGCGGCCTGGCGACATGGTGAACAAGCACTCCACTGCCACTGGCCCATGTGGAAAATCTGTGTGTGCTGGTCAGTTGAGGTTTTCACCACTCATGGTCTTCTATAGTATCTCGTACTGCAGAAAGCCATGGGAAAAATCACATCTGGTGCATTGCGACGTATCATGAAGTATCTATCTTTTGCTCCAGGCGGTCCCTTGCCTGTTGGCCCTCTGGCAAGGCATTGCTTCCACGCAAAGGAGTCAGAATCCCCTGGCCGATCCGCCGTTACTCCACCCGACCATGCAGATATGCAGCGGATATTCATCTGCGAAAATTGGAAGTTCTCATGGAAGCTTCTATGAATGTCTCATATTTCTCCCGGTGATGACTGATGACCCATAAATCATGGTAGGTCATCTCCGATTCTTGCAGCGGTGCCACGCGCCTTAGAGTAGCTTGTAGACCATGGCCACACCGATCGAGAACGATCCATGGCGGCATGCATGGCATGGCAGCGTCTGGTCTGGTCTCGTCTGGTCTTGAGTTGGATATACCTTGGATGTCCCATCTGGATCCAGAGCATGTCGCTAACCCATCTCGCCTTCCCAATGCTTCTAGCGTTGGCTCACCATGCATCTTGTATTGGCAACGGTGATGATTAGCAACCAGGATGAATAAGCGGGATGAACCTGGTGACCTGGTGATCATCTCACAGAAATTTCGAGTATATTCAATATAAGCCACTGCAATATGTGTATATATTACATATATACACAATAGATATGTATATACCGTCGGCAATTTATCTATGCATGGTGTCCCTTGCTAAGTTGCTACAGCGCTTGAGATGAAAGGAACGGAACTTCAGAATTAGATATCTATCCACATCCAGCAAAAGGCAAACATCCATCAAATTTTACTTTTCAAGATTTCAAGTAAACCAACGCATCAGACTTTTTGATACGTTTGGACATGTTCAAGTGCCCCAAGTGGTAACTGGTCAAGAGATGCAACGCTTCTTCCCTCTTCCTCCACAGCCAAGGTCACATTATTAATCTTCTGAGACTTCGTGGACATCAAAGAGTCGCAAGATACATTGTTGTTGCATGGTTCAAACTTGGGTAACTAAAAATGGTTGATCCCTTGGTCCTAGCTTTTGACCTATCCCACCGTGTCCCGCCTCGATAACAGTCGATATGGTTTCGCAAGGTTTCGCAAGTCTTGATTAAAAAAAAAAAACTGTGGCCTTTGGCCTGCAGTCCTTCTGGATCGATTTAGTCAAGCATCATCCCTTCAAGTAGAGAAGAAACACCAGTTTTTTTAAGCAGTGAACTATATTTTAAATTGACTACAACAGTATGCTTCTGGTCACGGATCTCACCTCCCCAAAAGCTTTGGTTGTTCAATTGCTTGGATTTGCTTCATGGGAACAGCTTTTTTTTAAGCCTTACCAGTGGATTCCTCCAAGTGGATCATGGTCATCTTCCCACCTCCTACGACCTAGCAGGCCTCCGTACTTCCAAAGCTGCCCGCAGAGGGCCTCCGTCGTTTCCGACTAGGTCCTCGCCGGCTCCATCGAGGATCTATCTCGGGGGTTGTACCCCCAATTCCAGCAGTTTCTCATCGTGTTTTCCAACGTGTTTTCCAAATTCTTCCCATTTAGGTGGCAATTTTGAGGGTATGATGGTTATAGACTGTAGAAACATGTATACTGCACGGGCTTTCCCCTCAATTCTTGCAGGTTACATCCAAATCCTCAAAGGCTTCAACCAGGTGATCACGAGGCTCATTCGAGGCCTGCCACCATGACAGACGACCAAAAAAAATTGTGGATCCTGTTTGAGCCTTAGCTCAGCTCCTAATGCTGCGGCCTGTTTGGGCACCAGCGACTCCAAAAGTTCTGCAGGTAGCCCAAAAACCCAAAGCCTTGGCAGTGAAATGGAGCCACTGGCTACAATTCTACAATCAGGGACCCAGCAGCCACCTGGGTTTGTGAAGATTTCAAAAGATTTCTGTAAAGTACCGCTGAAGAATTGGAGTGATACTTGGATGAGGAAAAAATGAGGTTGCAACATGTTGGCTCCGCCGGGGGGGTTTGCCCGGCTTGGAACAAGGTCGACTGTGACTACATGTGATGAGTATCCGCAGCCGTTTGTTGTTCTTGTAGTCATGGTGTTGATGTTACTGTGCTTTTTCATATAAAATGTGGTTGTTCACAAGTAGACTTCATATCATGTTTTCAGATGCAATTGATCATTGAATGTTTTGACAATGTCCAAACTTGAGTTTTTTTCGCCAAATCTGGCGGAAAAATCAACAATCACCTGTAAGTTACAGCGTTTCCATTTGACACGATTTGCATACATATATAGACAGACATGAAGTATACATATATATACATATATATACATATATATATATATCACATACACCAGAAGTAAACAGAAAGAGTCAGACAGAAAGGAGACACATGGCAAGAAGAAATACATTGAACCCAATCAAGATGAGGAAACGATGGACAATCAAACATGACACTGCGATTGCGTGACACATGACACACCTGTACACATCAACACACCAGCAGCGCACCATGTGTACACATGAACACACCAGCAGCGTACCATCTGTACACATCAACACACCAGCAGCGTACCATGTGTACACATCAACACACCAGCAGCGTACCATGTGTACACATGAACACCAACGTTGACACACCCCACCCCACCCCACCCCACGTACCATGCGTACACATCAACACACCAGCAGCGTACCATGTGTACACATGAACACCAACGTTGACACACCCCACCCCACCCCACGTACCATGTGTACACATCAACACACCAGCAGCGCACCATGTGTACACATGAACACACCAGCAGCGCACCATGTGTACACATCAACACACCAGCAGCGTACCATGTGTACACATCAACACACCAGCAGCGTACCATGTGTACACATGAACACCAACGTTGCGTACCATGTGTACACATGAACACACCACAGCGCACCATGTGTGAGCACACCAGCAGCGTACCATGTGTACACATCAACACACCAGCAGCGTACCATGTGTACACATCAACACACCAGCAGCGTACCATGTGTACACATGAACACCAACGTTGACACACCCCACCCCACCCCACGTACCATGTGTACACATCAACACACCAGCAGCGTACCATGTGTACACATGAACACCAACGTTGACACACCCCACCCCACCCCACGTACCATGTGTACACATCAACACACCAGCAGCGTACCATGTGTACACATGAACACACCAGCAGCGCACCATGTGTACACATCAACACACCAGCAGCGTACCATGTGTACACATCAACACACCAGCAGCGTACCATGTGTACACATGAACACCAACGTTGCGTACCATGTGTACACATCAACACACCAGCAGCGTACCATGTGTACACATGAACACCAACGTTGACACACCCCACCCCACCCCACGTACCATGTGTACACATCAACACCCAGCAGCACCTGTGTACACTGAACACACCAGCCCGCACCATACACTCACACACCAGCAGAGTACCATGTGTACACACATACACCATCCAGCGCGTACCATGTAACACCACGTTGCGCACGTACCATGTGTACACATGTGTACACATGAACACCAACGTTGACACACCCCCCACCCCACCCCACCCCACCCCACCCCACATGTTAAAATTCCGGGCAAACCCCCCCGGTAGACCCAACATGTTGTAACCCACTTTTTAGATAATTTTCGGAGTGACCCTTTGCGTATAACTCAGCCAACTTGGTTTTTGACCCTCCCATGCCCAAGCTAAGCTACCAGGCCAGCAGGCACAGGCTCCTTCAAATCCGGGGCGCAACATTACTCGAAGCTGTGGCACACGGCCAGCCTGAAGTTGTTCCAAGCCATGTCATGAAAATCACCAACTTTCAGACACTCATAATTTCATAATATTGTTCTAAGTGGGTTGTAGTATTTTTGAATCACATATCATACTTTAAGCAGGTTATAGGATCTCAGAATCCCATCCAGACACGACAATCCAGGTGGTATCAACTTGATCTCAGGCTATATCTCAGGACAGGGAAATCGCTGACCAGTGGCTGCAGTAGTTTCACCAAATCCTGAAGCTGGGGCTGCTTCTGTTTGAAAGGTGTGCTGTCCCTTGCCCATCTTCATTTGGAGCAGTAGGGAATAAATTTCAAAATTTGGTGAAACTGAGACAGAGAAGCAAGTTACAGCCACCATTTTTGGGCTCAAATTTACCCCAAAAAACTCCAATCCCCCTGTTATTTGGGCGCAGGAGTCACACCTGTTGAGCAGCTCCCGAGAGGTCCAGACCTGGGATCCGCGCAGGGCTGGGGTTGATGGATTTTCCCTGGAGCCCTGGGGCATCCTGGGGCTCGGGCTGCTCAAATGCCACGCATCACCGGCCAACAATTCTTGAACCTGCGCTGCGTTGCTGGGGCTGGTTTCACTGGTTTCTTCCAGAAAAAGAATCCAGCTGGCCATAGCTGCTATTAGCTCAAAACTTGTGTTTTGTGTATCTTGATATTTGCTTCACATCTATGAATATAACATTGTTGGCCTCATTCCAAAGCGACCCAAAACCCGCCTTCCATAGCGACACACCAAGCCACAGTGTCGGTGATTGTTCTTTTTGATGTTCCAATTTACCCTCTGGTAATTTAACATAGCTATTGAAAATGGCAATTTATAATTGATTTTCCCATTAAGAATGGTGATTTTCCATAGTTATGTTAGTTTACCAGAGGGTATGTGGAACCCACCGATTTGCAGCTGAATACGTCCTACCCTCGGCCTGGAATACAATGACCTTCTGACTGTCGCCAATTCTGACCTGCACGGGACCGGACCGAATCGCTTCACCAGTCGACCGAATCGGCTGCAAGTGGAACCTTGGGCTGACGTTCGAGACCATACTATTCACACATGCTAACACTGCATGCACTACCAGCTGAATTGACTTCCCATGCCACTTCCTGTTCTCGGCGAAAAAGCACAATTTTTAGACATTCAAAAGTGGATAAAGCTCCTAAAGAAGTGGATGTCACCATGGCGCGTTTTATTGCCGCAACATCGACAGTTGCGTTGGCCTCGCATCCCAGGTCTTTTCGAAGAGCCTCACCGCAAAACTAGGGCGGCTCGATCACACTTAAAGTGGCAAAAACTTGTCGCGGATGCCGAATCACCTTTAGATGTCAAATATCTCACAACCATTCACAACCTAACTGCCAGTATCAGTAACTGTTTTCCCTGACGCCTCGTTTAAGGACCGCCTGCCGGCACTCCAAAGAATGCCATCATAGCCATTCAAGTCTTTTGGATCCTCGCACGCCAGTCACCCCAGAGAAGGTGAAACTTTGGTGGTCACTCAATGTATCAACGCCTTTTCGTGGATGTGTAAATTCCCCCTATATTGTGGAATATCTCGCAAAAATCCAGCGAACTAAAGCATACTAAAGCTACTCCTGTCACAAAATCATCGAAGTTCGATCAAACACAAATTAAAAGTATCCACATGAATTCCACATGAATATACAGATTTGATTGTTCCCGGCGCAGATCCACTCCTGAACTGCTGCCTCGTATTCAATCCGGGCCTCGACGCCTGCAACCTGCAGGCCGCTTGGGATACCACACGAAAAGGCGATAGGACGATAGGACACTTCAGCGCTACCCTAAGGCCAGGAGATCTTGATCTGCCGATATCCAGAGATATCGGATAGAGGTCCATCCAAACATGTCGCCATTTGCTCCTTCCATGATCAAAGTTGTAGGGTGTCAGCATGCGAGAAAATTCACCAAAGAAACATCCCTCTAGGAATGAATAGCATATAGCGGTAGAATAGACATAACAACTTCAACATGTGATCCTTTGCTGCACTCTCCAAGAAGATATGATTCATATGATCAAACTATCCGTAACTGTCCAAGCTCCAACACCGAACAGATCCACGAAAAGATCCGAAAAGATCTGAGGAAAATGTGCCGAAGGCCCTCCGGGCCCTCCGGGCCCTGCAGGCCTTCCTCCAACGCCGCAGAAAGTTTTCCTCACGCGGTGATCGCGGCAGCGCCTTCATGACCCTTTTTTCATAAGCCCAACTCCTCAGGGCCCCACATGGGTGATTATATTTAGGGATAATGAATGAGAATCATAAGATATTGTAAATATAGCTATAAGTTATATATACATATATATATATCTATTTATCTATCTTTTTTGGGGTCCAGCATTGCCAAGAATAGATCTCAAGAGTGGGATCGTGTTGGACACAAGTGTGGTGTGAAAGCCAAAAGACAGAAGTTCACAAAAGTTTGCCACAACAAATTACGCCCGGATCTGATTGGTGGCTTCAAGATGTTTCAAGATAGCGTTTTCCTGAGTTGTCTGGTGAAAAAAGGACACCCAGGAGTGTTCCAAACACTCTGCACTCTCCTCGATCTCTGCTACCGGCATTCCCGAGGAAAAGGCTCGCGAACGTGTTTGCTGATCTAACCTTGGCTGTTTGATCTGCGTCCGTCATTCTGTGTCTTCATACTGGGATAAAAACACATCCGAAGTGGCAAATCCCAACATGACATCGTAGTATAGAATCACCTGGATGGTCCGGATGGAATGTCCTCTGCCCTGGAATAGTCCTACAAAATCCTACAGGTTTCATGAGGTTTCAATGCTTTCCCTGGCGGATGCTCAACCTCTCAGGATCTCTCAGGATTCACAAATGGCCAAGGGATGGAGTGAGCTAAGGCGTCCAGCATCGAACGAGTGGAGGATGACAAAGCTATCCTGGAGAATCAAACTGGGGATCTGCTAGATCTCATTTCTATGAGAGTAGGGAACCCAGTGGAAATCTTCCCGCCCCTATAGAAACGCTCATTTTGTTTAAGCCCTCTGCACATGATAGATATTGGTCAAATGCTGTGAGTCCATGGATCATGATATTCATCAAACCCAGATGGTTACCAGACTTGTTTCTGTAGAGCCTGCAGGCATCAAGCTCTTTGGTGACGGGCAAGTCAGCTGACACACGGACCAACGCCAGGAGATCCCCAGGAAAAAGAAAAAAAAGGTATCGCCAAGGTTACCAGTGAGGTGTGGTGTTTACCCACAAGGGCCGGGCTTGGGTTTTTAAAGCTTTACAAACTCTAAAGATCCTGAAACATCCTTGGAAGGATCCCTTGGGCATGGGATGCTCATCCAGGCATGGACCCATCCCATCCTGATGTCTGTGCGAGTACAATGACTGGCCATTGACCTGCACAGGGACCAGGTCTGCCAAGACGCAAAAAAAAATGAGGTGAGTTCGGTGAGCTCTCACATTCTATGGCCTAGCACTTCTGTACTGGAACCTTTCACCCGTAGGGTCTTTGCAGCACAGTGGACCTGGAAATCACTCATTGGCATGGTCTCTTCGTTTTTTGCGATCAAAATATGTTCTTTGCATTGCAGCGTTTTCAGACCTAAAATTTGCAATAGCATGGTATTTTATTAGCAACATTTTGGAGTTCGAACCTCTCATTTTCCATGGTTGGTTAAAGGTTTATCAAGGTCTGGTTAACGGTCTATTTAGGGTTGGCTTAAGATAGAATTAGGGTTAGTTTGGGGTATATTTGGGTTTGGTTTAGAGGTTATTAGCGGTTGGCTAAGGGTTATTTAGACTTGGTTTAAGATCTATTCAGGGTCTATTGAGGGTTGGTGTTTGGGTTTGGTTTAGGGTTTATTTCCGATTGGTTTACAATTTATTCAGGTCTGGTTGTGTTTGTTTGGAGTTGGTTCGCCAACACAGGTTGGTGCCTAGGTCAAACCAGGGCAATAATAATCACCTTTGAAAGTAAAGCCTTTTTCTCTCTTGGGGGCACACCCAAGACCTTCAAGCTTAAGTTTCTTGCCTAAGAGCGATGATTTTTGTTAACCTAGCCCTCGCTTTTTCCGAGCCGGCCCCAACAGCTGGCCCCAAACCCTTTTTAAGGGCTGTCATGCGCAACCCTCTCCAACAAACATTTGTAGTTTTTTGCCCCCTTGGCCAACCGGCCCTTTCCCTCCTAGATTGGATTACCCCTTGTAGCCAGGCTGCTCCCTCGTTACTAGCCGCTAGCCCAACCAACCCTTTCTAAGCAAGTTTTTTTGCCACTTACCCATTTCGATAATGTTCCAGCCACACCAAGCTACATGCGGTAGATGTTGTCCCAATGTTGTGCTGCTAAACTTTCCTTCTGCCAAGGCTGTCCATTTTAAAAACACAATAGGAAGGGCCCAACGCGAATAGTACAAAAACGAAATTAAAAGACCGGATAACCCCACATGTAAATTTCTTCCAATAAGCACCAAGCAGATGTGAAAATGAGATGGGAAAGGCAGGAAAGAAAAAGGACATTGTGGAAGACAGATTGTGTGAAAGAGCTGTGAGTGACAGAGTTGTGTGTGTGTGTGTGAAAGAGCTGCGTGTTAAAGAGTTGTGTGTGTGTGTGACAATGTTGTGCGTGTCACAGAGTTGTGTGTGTGTGTGTCTTAAGGAGTTGTGTGTGAAAATGCTGTGTGGGTGAAAGAGTTGTGTGGGAAAGAGTTGTGTGTGAAAGTGCTGTGTGTGACAAAGTTGTGTGTGTGTGACAATGTTGTATCAGAAAGATGTGTGTGTGTGTCAAAGAGTTGTGTGTGAAAGCGCTGTGTGTGCAAGAGTTGTCTGTGACAATGCTGTGCGTGTGAAAGAGTTGTGTGAGTTGTGTGTGTGTGTGTGTGAATGAGTTGTCATTCAAGCAACAAGCGCCATGCGTGCCACACAAAAGCACCATCAATGTCACCAAATGCCGGTGATAAAGCGCGCCACCAGAGCCATCCGAGCCCCGTAAGTACCACACCTGTCACACAAAAGCATACAAAAGCACCGTCGATGTCACCAAGTGCCACGCCTGCCACACCAAGCGCGCCACCAAAGCCAGCCTAGTGCCGTGAGTGCCACGTCTGCCACACAAAAGCACCATCGGTGTCACCAAATGCCACGCCTGCCACAGAAAAGTCATTGTGAAAGAGTTGTGTGTGTGAGAGTTGTGTGAAAGAGTTCTGTGTGAAAAAGTTGTGAGCGTGAAAGAGTTGTGTGGGACAGAGTTGTGTGTGGCCGTAACTGCCACGCCTGCCACGCAAAAGTGACGTCGATGAACCGACCAAACAATAAAGTCCGTCCTCCTTCCTTCATAATGCACTCTTGGAGGATGGGTTTGTGCTATGTTGATTTTCTTGAAGGAAAAAAAGCGAGGTCCATTTTCCTTGAATGTCAAAAAAAATGAAATATGGCTGGTAAATAATCTATCAATATTATAATATATATATATATATTATCAGTATTTTTGGGCAAAGGTTCCCATTTTGCATTGATTACAATAGGTCGGACCTTAAACTGAGCCAAACCTTCTGCAAACTCGGAAGAAACATCTCAAACTGGAAGCGCCCTCCAACTTTTACATCTATATTAGCTAGAAAAAAGCCAAAGCAGTGGCCCGACCCGTGCTCAACCTGCGCCCGACCCGTGCCCGACCCGTGCTCAACCTGCGCCCAACATGCGCCCGAAAAAATGGGGCATGTTGACTGGGAATTGGTGAATCTCTGATAGAATCATGTCCTCGCCCACCCAAGAAAGGCTGCTGTTTTGCAAGGAAGGTCAAAGATGGAAAATGCCACCGTTCCTTTGGCACTTCTGTTCCCTTCTGGATAGGTAGGTGTAGATTTCGTCCGTTTGATGAATGCAAGCTTTCATAATTTCGGCTTTGGAAGCCTCCTGGCTTGTAAACCTGAAAAGGGGCACATCCCTGTGTGAAATCCCAAACGGGTTAATATACTATCTGTGAGTCCTACACTGTGATTTCCTTGACGAGCACACAAGTGGACAAGCAACAGCCAACTGGGTCCCTCATGGAAGAAATAAAGTAACACAAGTCAGGAGGGAACTTACCTTTTGGAAAGTCGTTTGGGGAATGGATTTCAAACCTATTGGTCTCTCATCGTCAAATGGATAGTCGGAACAATCTCAATGTATGATGAGTGAGCCGGTCTAAACAGGGGCAGAACCAGCCTCGCTTCCATCACAACCTGGAGCTGGAGTGATAGGCTTCCGCGGGATGGAAAAATGGTGCATCATGTGCATCCCACAGAAACGCAACACTCACCACATTGTATATTCTCACATGTTTGACGAGCCTAGTCACCGTATCACACGCTTTGCGCATCGCAAGGACGTGCCTTTTAACCTTCGCAACCTTCGCAACGCCCGTGACATTGGCACAACGTCTATCACTAGTACCACTGCTACCACCACTACCACCACTACCACCGCCCGCATCCAAATTTGCATCATCAAGATCGTCATCATCTGCATCTTACATAGATCATAGCAGGCTCTTCTACGATCTGCTCTCCGATGGCACCAACTCACATCCGAGTCACAATTTGGGGCGCGTCAGGTCGGAGTCTCAAAGCTCCAGAGGAATCGGTCCAGCGGTACTGCAGTGAGGTGCAAAATACCAGAATTGGTGGAGAAAAATTGAGAAAAACACATACCACATCAGTATACATCAGTGATAAGTGCATGCAAAAAAGCGTTCCATTGGGGAGAGATTTGCACCATTTTGCACCCCAAATTCCATTCTGCCAAAGATTGAAAGTTTGGGTCAACCTGAACGGATCCAGGTAGACCCATAGGTTTTACAGGTACATCTACAGTGTATCTACAGGTAGATCAGAAGATCTAGGGCCCTTGGGGTCCCCTTTTGGGGTCAGGTTGTGGCTCTCCTTCTGGGCCAGCAGCATGGCAGCCCAAAGGCCCACTGGACCAGCCTGAACGGAATTTTCCCACAAAAGCGATGTGCAGGAAGGGAAAACTCAACTACAGGGACCGCTAAAACCATGGTGAGTGGAAGCTCCTTATTTGTGGCCCAACGTATATAGTAGGTCTGCAAGCATGTCGAGTCAGTCACGCAAGGACCGAAAGTCAGGTCCTGCAAAATGGTTGGTTATTTGTAACACCAACACCATGTTAGCACCCTCCAATTTGGGGCATGGATGATTTTGGGCCCTTCCGACAGTTTGGATCATTTTGGTGGGATCATTAAAAGATCCAGGGTTGGGTGGCCGCAACAGTTTTCTATTCACCAGTGCTTGGCCTCATTACTTGACCCAATTGCCATAAGGCAAACCAACCAAAATGCTGTGTCTGAGGGCTTCTAGGTACAGTATTCAGGTCATTGCGGGTTAGGTAAAACATTCACAAACCAGGCCTCTGCAGGGCCTTTTTGGCTGTATAAAGTTGTATCTCAACCCGGCACACCCACCTGAAACTGTCAAACCTTAAGCTACACTTTCAAATCTGCCAGCGGCTGCGAGAATTTTCGGTCTCATATGAGCCAGTTTGCTTGGAAAAAGTACAGCATCCGCATCTGTAAAATTGGCAAAGAATAGTCGAATAGTGGAGTATGTGAGTAGATTGTTGGGTCTACATCATGAAAGCACCGTACCTGGCACCATGTCCAAACCCTTGGTTTCCGCGCTCCAACGATAGCGATCTTCCGTCGATGGAAGGTGCAAGCATCGCCCTGACACTCGGTTTCGATGGTCGGCCCGAAACTTTGGTTCCAGTGTTGACCCATAACGACCCATATCAAAGGAATGTCAGGACTACAAGACCAGCTACAGGACTCCATTGAAACCATAGCCCATATGAGCCCATTCCAAACCAACCACAACTGGCATGGTAGGTTGTCTTTGGACCTCCGGAGCAAATGTGCATCAAGATTTGAGGTACAAGAAGTGATATTCAGAAACAGATTCGAGAAGCAGAGACACAAAAGGTCAGACTATGGTAAGCGGTGAGTTTTGAAGGGAAACTTATAAAGCAGACACTAAGCGCGATCTGCACTGGAAGGTAGCTGGACCATAAACTTCAGGCCAGGGTGATGGCAAGCTAGCTGGCTGGGATATGTATTTGGGTGCCCAAAAGTTGTAGGTGTGATTGGCCAAATTAGATTGGAACAATGTGTTTGTTCATCTGCTGCCAGCGTCGAGCAATTTTGGCAGGCCGGCCCCTCTCCAAAAAGTGATCCTTTTGTGAGCTGCACCACTTGGGATATGTACAACATTATACTCTATCGTATTTGGGCCATCAGGCCATCATATGGGTTTGTCCAGATATGGGTATACCATGCTGTATACCCAAACATTGCCATCTTTCAGGATAATGATGATAAGTCACTAGATTTTGGGGTGCCCTAATTTTTGGGCAAAGCCACAAAATATTCAGGATGCATCATACAACCCATGAAGAGACTCTGCAGTTCACTGCTTTCAAATTGCGCGGTCCTCAGCGCCTTCACCCATCACGTCTCCAGCTTTCACCTGGTAGCAAGATGTTGTTTTCACCAGCTCCGCTGAAGCTGTGTTTTTCCGTTTTAACTGTATTTCATGTGTTGGGTATTCCCGCCCAAATCCTATTCAACAGCCCATCATTTCTGTGCGTTCCAAGGCCTGTGGCATCTTGGACAGCAGTTTCTGAGCGATCCTTGCCTGGCTGCAGTTCGTATCTTCCAATCAAATCACTCAATATAAAAAGGGAAAAACAAACTCTCCTTGCCATGGTTTTAGGGAGTATTGTAATGGTGTGTCGGATGACAGAACCATTGTGACCATGGTCACGGTGACTTTTCAGTAAAGAAATAACACTGTGTTTGATCCCAAGCATTTCAAAGGATCAAAAATGTTGCACACCTTTAGAGCAAGAGTTCGTGCCATTGCGACTGCCCTCTACGTACAGCCGCAGGCACAGGGCACAAAACCAAGGCAAACGCCTGCCCCAAACCAACTTTTTGAGGACAGACCAAAGTGGTATTCAAACAATGGGTCCGATCTCCATAAGGACCTGAATTTGCCGGAGAAACCATGGTCGTACCAATGTGACCTTGCCTGACATTCCTTCCGGAAGGTCTCCAAATCTGCATTCGCCGCCAGGGCGGCAGCCTCTGAGGAACAAAAATCCTGGACCCCCCGTGAGCAGCCAAAACCTTCAACCTTCACCTTGTAAGATTTCCCCATTCATGGTTTAGAATTGTCTTGAAATAGTCCCAATTAAAACAGTTGTATAATGTAAACCACTATGAGGTTGCCATGGACCTTGATGACAGCCTGGAACCCAGGAATATCGTCCGTCTGCTTTGGTTTAGACAGGTGGAGATTTGAAGCCAGCAAAATTGGGACCCGAAAAAAAAAAAAACTGTAATTCCATTTTGAGGAAAACTGGATTTCCACTCTCTTAAATTGAGATTTTCAATATTTATCAAGAACTCGGACTTGAATTCGTGAAAGTCTCCATTTACTGGTGAGAGACGTAGTGAAACACGCATGGCGTTTCTTGTTATTGGCCCCAAATTTCAAAAATGTGTTAACCATTGATACATCTCAGTAGTATGAAACGGATATGGAACGGGCAGACACGCCTTGGCTTCTTTGGCGCGTTGGGCAGCACGTTCGGCTGCGGCCTCTGGCGTGGATCTACTGTGTGAAAGAAGCATGGACATGGAAATATACAGTGGCGGAACTTCAAACATGGAAATATATGGAAACTGGAAACTTCTGGAAATTGCGTGAAAGATATGGACATGTCATTAAGCGCGGGTTCATGCTTTAGCTAGCCTTTAGCTCTGTTCGCAAGCCCCTGTATTTTCAGGAATATACAATCAGGATACATTTTTTCGGTGCAATGTCCGCCTCGCGTGCAACTCAAACAGCATTCATCTTCTACTTGGGCAACCCTTTGGGGACCGCTTCCGGACCATATTCCAGTTCCTGCTTCTTGTTCCGGCCATTTTTTCCTTTTCTGCCTTTTTTCCAACCACGATATTCTGGATTTGTCGTTTCAATTCCTTTCTCAAGGCTGTGGGGGCCTTGCGCATTTGCTCATTCTCCGTTTTGCTGGAACCAGTACCAATTCGACCATCCCTTGCTTGGTCTCATTGTGGTTCGTTTTCGGATACACATCCTGCTCCTGTTTTTAATTCCAGCCAATTTTCTACTTCATCGACGTCTTCTCCACGCACAATGTTCTGGATTTTTCACATCAACTCCCAGCTGAAAGGCTAGGGGGGAAATCTTCCACATCAGCTCCTACCTTTCACTCTCTTCTCTTGCTGGAATGTATACTCCTCGTCATTCTGTGCTGAAGGGGGACGTGGCAATTTCCATGTATTGTTCTCACGGGACTGAAAGCCGTCCTGGTTTATAAAGCAATTGTTTATAAAGAAATTTACTCTGAAGTTGGACCACAGGTCCTTGATTTTTGATTAAGCTAACTCCACTTCAGTGTGAGGGGCCAAGACAGAAATTCTACTTCTGTGCACGTCAACCCCATTATCTTGCAGCTAAAGCCCGCAGGGACCGCCACAGACGTGCCGCGAGACCACCGTCACTCCATGGTTTTCACTTTCTCCTTTTTTTATTTTGGGACCGATCTCCTCATGGATTGTTTCTCCTTCGTGATCACTATTGCTCCGTTGTTTCGGTGGTTTTGGGGTCCACCAACAAACACCATCGGGTCCCCCGTTATAGGTGCTGGTTAGCAGCTTATCCCGCAGCCTACAGATTCTCATTTTCTCTTTTACCATCTTGTTTCTCCGTTTGGCTGGCGGAAAGCTGCTGTAGACGTGTAGTTCGACATGAACTGCATATCGCTGTAGAAAGAATGGAAATTAATGGATGATATACTTTCATGATGTATAAGCTTGTGGTGCAATATTGTCAACCAGAAAAACAAAACGATTGTAAATGGAAATCCCACAGATACTGATGGGAAAGAAAACTAAAAAGTGGGAGTACTTGACGTGACGCTTCCAAAGAACTTCCTGTAAACAAAGTTGAAACGGCCACCGCACAGCAGCGACCACTGGTTTTACGCTTTCGAGATAATGAAATTTGAGAGGTGCCATGTTCAGCTCATTGGGATGTGTTCGTTGGGAAATTCTCCTTCTTGAAGCCTCCGAGCCATGTTCATAGTCAAAGCTGAACCTACAACTCTCTCTCACAGAAATGTTGCATATGTATATATATATATATAATTGCTGGAAATTTGATCGAGATGTTCGGTCAAAAAACCGATGACACAACAAGAATTGTTGTTGGGTTCAGGACATTGTTGAAGGTCGGTTTTAATTCTATTCAATGGTGGGTTTCTTGCAGGTATGCCGAGGAGTTTTGCAGTCCTATGTTTGTATCCACGGGTTACTTGGTCCGACATGATCAAACCATAGAAGTGAAAATCGAGCTGAAGCATGTCAAAGTGAGGTATGCTACTGCCCAGGCGTGTTAACATGTAACATGTGCCAACAATCATCCCGCAGCTGCACCTATTAAGCTAGATCATTTCGGGAGGGTATCCCCATTTGTGCTAAATTACCAACCATGAAGAACTTTTGGAAAGAATCGGGAGATATACCATATTCCATCATCTTACCTGTTGGCTGTTTGACAGTACCCTTCGATTTGTCACCCCACCAAGGGAAAGGTATGTACCTGACTTTGCCAGCGGCACCTGGTCAGCCAGGCGTTCGCGAGTCTTCAAGATGAAGGAATGCAGATCGGCGCCTAGAAACGGGCTGAAGGGATGCAGGAGGCCCAAATTTCTCACGTCATGTCCCAAGGAGTGACCAGTAGAGCTCTAATTTCTGTGACCCGACCCCAAAGCAGTGGTTCTACCCTTCGGCCCGAGTCCAACAGACTCAGCTCAGGGAGACCATTTGAGCCATGAAAAGAACAACTATCCTTTCCCATGCTACTGGTTGGTTGATAGTTATCTAAGTTGTTCTTGTGACATGAGATATTATGGGATATTATGGGAGAACACCAATCACCCAGGCATTTACTTTTTGAAGACTGGAGAAGCCCCCCATGTTTGCAAAGCCTCCCTAAGGCTCTGCCTGTGCTTCGCAATGGCCGTGCAGACACCACTATGGCGGCCGCCGCCTGATGTCATGATGTCTAGAAGCAACTAATTATAATGATAGTTATATATAGTTGTATCATGTTATAACATTAGCTGGTAGTTGCTGATAGTTACCGGATAGAGATAATGATGATAACGATTTGAAACTATCATGAGCTGACTTCAATTGGGAATCATTGGCACCTCTGCTTCAGCTTCAGCAGCTCGGGTGTCCAAACGTTCTTTGGTCTTCATTAAGAATGCCTGGAAGGTGGAAGACTCAAGGACGATGAACCCTGACAGACCTTGATCGAAATGGGAATATGTGGCCATTAGGCTGATGGAATTTGGAATTTCCCAAACTTATCCGTCTACTTGGGACCAGCAATCCCATATCTCCCATAGCCATCAGGCAGCTTGCACGGAAAGCACCTCAAGGTCAGCACCATGCCCTCGACGTTTCTTGGCCTGGCGGTAGAACTAGCTGTGTGGTTTTGTCATGCTTTTGTCTAAAACCTCATTGTCCCCACGGCAACCAACAATGGGTTAGACAGTGCCCTATTTTGGGGCAAAGCCATGTAGCAACAACTCACACTTTGAGGAGTCAATCCGGGAGGAAATCTGCCAAGAGTACCTAATAACAGACCTCACGCCCAATCTTTGCAGGGTACATCCTCTTCACAAAGGGACTCGGTTCTTCATCTCATACCAAGCCCTGCGTAGTGCCCAGGGTCCACGCTCTCGCTTCCGCTTTTCGCTTCGCTTTCTTGGCCTTGGTCAAAGGATGTCAAACGTCCCAAGACCACAACAACAACAACAACAACCACAACAACAACAACAATGGGATCAGAATTGCCCAAGAAGCGGGATCATTCATGACACTTGCACTATGAGGTGAAGGAGTTCTCAAGTTCGTCAAAAAAAACCTCTGAACTGCAGCAAACCTCTGGCCTAACTGATCGAAAGTGCAGAGCTCTGACAATCCACCCAACACCATCTGCAGGGGTGAAACATTTGCCTGAAAAAGTAGAATTGGGCACTCGATAGATCAATGCGTGATGTTTGAAAAAGATTCGAGGATTTGGGAGCCTGTCAATAGTGGGGAAAACAGAATCCTGACATTGATTTTGCGGACGGAACCATGGGATGTTCCTGCAACTTTGTATAGCCTGTTTCCATCTTGGAGCATAGCTCAGCATAGCCTAGGTTTCCAACAGCTTTTCTCTCAGCTCGGAGCCGCTTCCACACCTGGAAAAAGTCTGTTAAAACTCGAGGAAGGCTTCCCATCCCCAATTAGCTAGTGCACTATATATATATATATATACAGTATACGTATATGTATATGTAGTGTGTGTGTGTGTATGTATGCGATAGCTATGTATATATAATATAAATATACGTGCATCCTGTCCATTACAAACTATGTCGTTTGTGCTCGTCCCTTTGTAAATTAAATTTCTTATTCAAACAAACGTAAAACTCAAAACGCCACGCAAATCGCTCGAAGGTCGGACATGTATTTAATATTTCTTTTTGTCTTTGCTTATCTTAATTGAGTCGGGGGTGAAACCGCACAAACACAAGTCAAGTGTCTGGTAACTGTTTCAGGTCAACAAGTCATGTCGCCTGTCACCCCCCCACAAGATAAGGGAGGGAAAACGAAGTTTGGGAGGGGATAGAAAAATCGAACGGGTCAAGTGCAACCCACCCTCCACACCCTAGCCAAAATTGCGCGGAACATAAAATCAAAATGTTCGCAACAGAGCAAAAGGTGAGAAGACTGACATCAATCTGATCTAAATAAAAAGTGAGAAGTAAAGATCATCCTTCAAACAACAGTGACAGATGTAAATGTCACAACATGATAATAAACAGAAGTTGTTTGGAAACTTCAGTTGGTTTCCAGCATTCAGCCAGGAGCATCTGCCGCCGCACAAGTGCGGAATGGAAAAGGCGTCCAACTACGGAAGTTTCAGCAGATTTCACCGCACTTCCACACATCTTAAAATAGCTTGAACAATTTGAACATGTTTAACATCTTCAACTCTTCACAGGAGGATCAGCTATATTTGCTTGACTCTGAAAGCTGAGCTGAAAACACCGCCAGGCTCACCAACACCGTCAGTTGGTTTTCAGTTCATCAGATTTTTCTTTTTTTTGTTACAGGCGGTACGTTCGCAAGCTCACTACTCCCAACAAACAAAGGCCACAACAAGTTGAAGCCAAACGTTTGTGCTCGTCCCTTTGTAAATTAAATTTCTTATTCAAACAAACGTAAAACTCAAAACGCCACGCAAATCGCTCGAAGGTCGGACATGTATTTAATATTTCTTTTTGTCTTTGCTTATCTTAATTGAGTCGGGGGTGAAACCGCACAAACACAAGTCAAGTGTCTGGTAACTGTTTCAGGTCAACAAGTCATGTCGCCTGTCACCCCCGGTTTTTTTTTCGACATGTAAAGAGCTTCACTTTCTTGTAACTTCCAAGAGCATTGTTTCAGGCAAGCATATATCGCCTGCAAGGTTTCCTCCCGAGATTGCCTGGCATTCTTTCAGTTTGGAGCGTGACGGCAGGTCAGCAATGTTTGACTCCGAAGCCACCCTTTCATACCATGAAGCGGAAGGAAATTCTGCTTCTACTAAGGACACTGCACGACAGATGTTGTACATGGACAGTGAAGGGCTGGATCCTTTGATCAAGCAAAAACGTGCAGCCTCGTTGTCAACGAAGTACAGTGCTGAAGAATTGGAAAGTTCATTGCGGTAAAAATACCTCACAAGCAAAACTGCAACCAACTCAATTTGACAAATTTTCTGCTGAAGTCCAATAGATGTCCAGTGCTCCATCAGGACTGGTGGGATGGTTCCCCAGTGAATTGCATTAATGCCAAGTTGAGGGATTATGACAACTGCACCCCAGGTTCCATTCCCATTCTCGTACGCACCGTCCGTGTAAATCACTGCCGGACGATCGCTGCTCAGGAAGCGAATTTCTCGTGGTCGCATTCGGTTAATGATCCTGCATGTATCATTGCACAAGCGCGATATGAGCTCTGTATCTGATGAACCTGACTGCAAACTTGCAAACTGTCTGGCGGCAGGCTTCAAACAACGTCCAACCACAAAGCCACCAGCATAATTCAGCAATCCATGCATAGTCGCCGCCTCGGGTGCAGACACAGTACCCTTGGCAGCGTATGATTCAAGCATCTCCAAAATCCTCTGTATCCGACTTGGGCGGTTCGCCACTGTCACTTGTTTGTTCCAAAAGTTCTGCAAGTGGAATGCTACTCCCAACACCTGCATGGTGTCAGAAAAATCAACACTCTTTTTACCAGTCGTAGCATGCTTCCACCCAAGCAAATCCAAAAGGTGCTGCACCACGTTCGTAGTTGTTGCCGCCAAAGGTTCAAACTCAATAACAGGAAAATCATCATAAAATACAGTGGTAAGGAGGTGAAATTTTCGAACCATCAAAGTCCAGATACCGCGCGTGATCTTGTTGAATGCAAAAACGCTGGACGTGGCTCCAAAAGGCAGTGACTTCGATATAAAGAACTTCCATTCGCCAGATTCACTTCGCACTCCCAAAACGCTATGTCTAGCAGACTGAGGAGCAACACTGACCTGCTTGTACGCCTTGCTCAAGTCGATGCCCCTGCCCAGCAGCAAAGGCTTTCGGTCGTAGTCAGGGTGCCTTCGACCAGTGAGGTGGTCACCTGAAGAAAGTTCGATGTCGATATGTGGATCTCCGCAGAAAACACCCAAAGCAAACGCAAGAAAGCAACTGATTACGTCGGTGTCGTGCAGGTCAAGGTGCGACGATGTTCCAAAGGCCGCATTCACTCCCGACGTTTTGTAGTTGTCAATCACTCTAGGTTTAAGGTCTTCACCTTGCAAAAGAAGGAACCGTTGGGACATTGACCAGTCCGCACGCCCAAGCCTTTCTGTTATATCAGACTCCAAAAAGGGACCATCCAGAAAACCAGCAGATACCTCTTTCATAGTTTCTTCCATAAGCAGTTTTGCAAGCCCACGTTCTTCGTCAGTAAAGGCTTTGCCCATAAGGGCTTTTCGTCGCCACAAAGCACTGTGGTCCAACTGTTCGGTTGTCATTGTAGGTGGAGCCCATCGTTGTTTGTACAAAGCGCTTTCGTCTTCCCAGCCAGTCAGGGGAACTCCTTCGCGCATATAGCGCACAACCTCCATGTCTTCGAACCCAACCTGGGTCAGCAGTTTTTCCCAAAGTTCAATGCGTTTTGCCTTGGTCACCTCCGCCACGTTCTTGTCCATTTTGACTTTCGCCAGTTTCTCCGCAAGAGCCAGTCGCTTTGCAATTTCAACACATTCTCCCAGCTTGCTGATGCGGAACAGGGCAACATCTGCCATCGAGTGTGTTGCCACAAAGAAAATAGCTTTCTTCAAATCATCTGGTACACCCTTGTGCGTAAATGCAGGGTGCTGCAATTCTAAAGAACGCTTGAGGTGATCATGATGGTTGAAATAAATGCCAACCTTGTAGCTTTCAGCTGACCTCTCGCTGTCGTCTCCCCCGTGTCCCAAGCGAGCCAAAATTTTGTGTGGCAGTTGAGGGAGTACCGTAGTGACAATAATTTGGGAAAATTCAGGGATCAATTGGTCATGACCTTTGGCTTGAATGGATTGGGCCATTAAAGATTGCAGTCGAAAAAATTTTGAGTTATACTCCAGTGCATTAGCAGCGACCATTGTACTTGCACATTCAGCATATCGATCACAGAACATTGAAGGATATTGAGCTTCCGCTGCAGTAGAAAAAATCCACTTATCAAATCCACTGACAATTGTCCATGGCTCATGGTTGTGGGACTTGTCGCACATAATCCCCAGTGGCTCAAACTGTCGGGTCGACACCAGCAACTTGGTTGACTTGGCACGGTTTCCTCCGTGCATGCAAAAATCAAATTCCACGGGGTGAAAACAAAAATACCACTCAGCAAATTCAGGGCACTTGTGTTCGCGTGCATATTGCTTGACCAGTGTTGCAAGTACTGTCCATAACCACGATCGTAAAGGATTTTCCAGTGTAATGAATGCTCCAACACGAAAAAGTGCATGCAACAAGCGCACAGCATGTCTATAAACAGTATTTGCAGCGTCAACTCTCTGCTGGTTCAGAGTGCTCAAATTTGGCAGGCCAAGTGGATGCAACGCGTCACGGAGTGGCGCAGGTTGAGGTGCTCCTTGAGAGCGTAATGCATGTGCAACCGGCACTTCTCGTGCTCGGCTGCAAGTTCCACACATAAGCCCAAAATGGGCTCCTACCGGCTTCATCTGTTCGATCATGCCTTCAAGGAGTGAAATATTCTCATGCAATGACAAATCCAACTCAAAAATGTGCATCTTGTTTTTGAAACGATTTGCATGATAGTCAATCGGAAAAACTTGCCAGCCCATGCGTTGCATTGATGCAGAGAGCGCAGCTGAGCCCGCACAGATTTCCAAAAAGACTATTGGTTTGTCTGCATGAGGGTGAGAAATTGTATTGTCTTGTTTCGGCTCACCAAGTCAGTGCTTACACTCAATGTAAGGTCGCTTCTCTGTGCAACCCTTGTAGTAACATTGGTGAAGCCCCAAATGACAACGTGCTTTCTTCTGATGTTTGCAAATCCCTCTGTTGTAGAAAACACACAGCCATTGACCGTTCGGCAGCTTGCTGGCGCAGCCGTCTGGCATGTTGGTGAGCATCTCTTTGATAGTGGGCCCAGAGCTGGGACCTGACGCAGCACCTTTCGACTGAAATTTGTTCTTCCCTTTGCCTTTGCCGGATCCACTGCTCTGTTCCGCTCGACTGTATGGCTCGGAACGATGTCCTGAAGGCGCTTCAGCGCGCACTGATGGCAATGGAGTCATGAAGCAAAGAACTTCAGGAGACCTCATGTAATTTTTCAATTGCTCATCCAAAGGTGGTTTCTCACCTATGCCAGAAATCAACTTGCCACGGGTTTGCTGTGAGATGTGCATCCACAGTTGCTTGTCAGCACTCAAGATCTGCTGTGTCGTGACATACTTGTGTCCAGCTGGAGGCGGCCGCAACAACGCAGCAAACATCTGTTGATTCCACTCTTCAATCAAATCAAAGGTCACCAAATTGGTCTGATGCATGGCCAAAGATCGGCGTGTAAATGCCGCACGTAGTCTAAGCTCGCCCGAAACATCACATTGCAAGTCCTGAGCCTTCTTGGTGACTTTGAGACCTCCAGCATGGTCAATGCTCAGCGCTGACTCTTTCTTTTCCTTGGTAATTTCTTCTTCTCGTGACATGCACTTCTCAGGTCCTACATAAAGCAAGCAACCATCCTCGATCATGTTTTGAAACTTGTCAACCAATCCATGACTTGGTTCGACTGACGCGTCGATGATCAGGCCTTTCAATTCCTTTTTCTGTTTGTCAATCCTAGCAAGTCTCTCTGCAAGTGGCATTTTCCTAGGCTGGTCAGCCTCAGTTCTTTCTGTTCTGCTACGTATGTCAGAGAGCACCATGGCATGCGCTTCAAACCACAGCCTACGAAGTGGAATCATTTCAGCTGGGGCAACCTCGACCAAAATCAAATCTTGGACTGCTTTCTTGAACTTCTCTTCAGTGTTTGAAGTTGGCGTTGCATCACTTGAAAAAGCAAGGCTCCCAAACGTGTCCAACCCAGCTCCCTTGAGCTTCTCTAGCAGGTCCTCTTGCATCCCTACTTCCAGCGCACGTGAGCTGAAAGCATGTTTCGAATCAAGTCCGGACATGGCTGCACTTTCGACCAGCCGTCGCTGAGTGATACAGTTTTATTGTTATCTTGCAAAAGATTGTCAAGTCAAGAGCGAAACGTCCACTAAAGTGAGTTATTGATTTGAAAATCAACGCATGAAAAACAGTGTTCAACAAGATCGAAATTGAAACGCAATGTTTCTTCATAAGTTGAACCACAGTCGTGAACCTTCAAACATGTGTCATTGATGCAATGAAATTCACACTGCAAGAAAACATACATTCATGAAGCTGCTCACTGTTTTTCAAAGGCTCCGACAGTTGTGCATCGGATCATTGGTGCGCAAGTCATGCGCTGACTCTGAGCAATTCACGCATCAGGTCGATGAAATTCAATTTCATGTTGTGCAAGTCACCACAAAGGAATTCAATTCACTCATTCCCTGTGTTGTCAGCTAAATTCATGCTGCAACAAATTGAAGTCAAGTCAAGCTGGGTAATGCAACAGCGAGATTCAAAAATCATACCAGCCAATGCATTGCCAGTAAGCAAGATTCGACATGTTTGCTGAACAGATTCCCGCCTTGTTTGTCTCTCGCCCGCCCCAACTCACGCTTCTGTTGCACTAAGCACTCACTATCAAGAATGCTGTGCACACTGAGCACAAAATGGAAATTCACATGCCATTTCAAAATCAAAAGAAGGCTTCTTGTAGTTCGCAGAAACTTTTCGTGAACATGCCAAATTTTCACAGTCCACTGCTACATGCAAAACTCCTGACAAAACATGCTGCAAACATGACTTGAAAATTTCTTCAGTCAACGGTCCATTGTGCACAGGTTTCTTTGCTTGAGGCACTGGCAGAGTTTCGCTTGCACCCAGCTCAATGGGGTCAACTGACTCGTCAGAATAGTTCTCAATATCGACATGTTCTGCATCTTGCAAAGTCTGTGCAGCAATCCGAGCAGCCCGAGTTGCATCAGGGTCAAAGTAACCCTTTCGAATGGAGTCCAGAATGCGCCACAACTTGGTTTGAATCTCGGCAAGCGCATCCCTCGAGTATATCAATGGCATTGCTAACCTGGAGTCAAAATGGTGCCCCATGATACGCCTCTCATCAATTGACATGGCTCCAGATGTTGCCGCCCAAGACAGTGCAGTAGCCTTCAAGGTGTGTGTGCTGTATGAAGCCGCCTGAGCCTCACTCATACCAGAGTTGCACAGCAGCTCACGTAGAAAGTATACACCTTCACCAGATGTCATTGGACGATTCAACCATTGTGATGTTTCTTCATTCCAGGCCGGCATCAAAAATTTGAAATGATCCATCTTTTGTCGCTTCCGGGCACGAATCCATGTCCATGCCCAAGAGTCCTTTTCGTAAAGCCCATTGCCCAGGGCCAGCATAGGAAGGGCAACATTCCTAGCTTCCTTGCCAGCCGTATGCGCTGTCTTGAATTTCATGCTTGACGTCTCCAGCAGTGATATGTGACCACTCATGTCCAAATGCACGGTCTCCGCACGAGCTGCGTCAGCAAATCTTGCAGATGCCAGCAAACAAAAAATCATGAATCCTCCAATGCATGCCTCCACATCGTTGCACTCACAGACATGTTTCTCCAAAGCGTACAACGCATCAGCAGTAAGTGGTGGAGCTTGCTTCAACTCCCTTTTGCCTGAAAGCATAGTCCTGCTAACTCCGTTCACTCTGCCAGAAAAAATTTGAGCAACCTCCACCCTCGCAAAGCCAATGTGATGTTCGAAAAATCCAATTGCTTTGATAAATGACTGCAGAGATGTTGCAGAGGCTCCGGACAGTTGCAAGTGCTTGGCATAGTCGTACACCACAGTCTCTGAAATGTTCATGGGATAGCAACGTCCCCCATCAACTGCCCATCGTGCAAAACGGTGATAGTCTGCAACCCTTTTAGATACTGTGCCAGGCGCCTTGCCAGCAACAGCATCAATAAAGGAAGTTGAAATTTTCGACTCTGGTACCAGCTTTCCTGAAAAATCCAGAAGTGCTCTGCCCAGTCTTGAATCCAAAGGTTGAAAAAGAACTATCTCTTTGAGTTGCCGCATTGCACAATCAACCAGCTGATCATCTGTTTTGGCAAATGCCGTTGCCAACAGTCTTTTGCGTTTGAAATCTGAGACTCCTTGCACCGGTTCCTCATGCGAGCTCACTGCACTATGCACAACGCCCTGAACAGATTCAAACCGCCCATACATAGGCAGCTGTGGTTGCCTCCAAATGCTGTCCAGTGAAAATACATTGTCAAAATCCATTCTATTCAAAAAAAAACTTGGCAGTGAAGAAGACCCAGCCACATGTTGAATCACAAGGTTGTCAATGGTTCGACTGACATCCATGTCAACTGTTTCAGCCAAGTTCCTATCAGCCCGTGCCTTGGCTGTGGGCACCATGAAGCGTCCAGTCTGGTTTTCAACGTCATCTGGTCTGACCAAACTTGCAGCGAGTGAATATTCTTCCTCAATTTGCTGCTCTGCAAATTCCTTTTCCTCGTATCCAAACAAAGGACTGAAATGTGAATCTTGTCCAAAATCATGATCATTCAAAGCATCTGGAAGTTGTACGTGTTCCCAGTCCATGTCGCTCTGGCCTCCATTGTCCCCTTGCGAAACAGGCCACTGCGCAGCACCAGCTGCATCTGGTAAATCGCCCAAACTGTGTGAATCACGCACAAGTACCATGAAAACAAAACACTTGCAAATCCAGGCAGTGTTCAAATGAAAACTGAAAGTTCTGTCAGAGAATGCACGTCCCGTAAAATCAAGATCTTCCAAAATTCTGTCAGGCATCCATGGCGATATGGAAAAATCGGATAGAAAAATCGAACGGGTCAAGTGCAACCCACCCTCCACACCCTAGCCAAAATTGCGCGGAACATAAAATCAAAATGTTCGCAACAGAGCGAAAGGTGAGAAGACTGACATCAATCTGATCTAAATAAAAAGTGAGAAGTAAAGATCATCCTTCAAACAACAGTGACAGATGTAAATGTCACAACATGATAATAAACAGAAGTTGTTTGGAAACTTCAGTTGGTTTCCAGCATTCAGCCAGGAGCATCTGCCGCCGCACAAGTGCGGAATGGAAAAGGCGTCCAACTACGGAAGTTTCAGCAGATTTCACCGCACTTCCACACATCTTAAATTGAACAATTTGAACATGTTTAACATCTTCAACTCTTCACAGGAGGATCAGCTATATTTGCTTGACTCTGAAAGCTGAGCTGAAAACACCGCCAGGCTCACCAACACCGTCAGTTGGTTTTCAGTTCATCAGATTTTTCTTTTTTTTGGTTACAGGCGGTACGTTCGCAAGCTCACTACTCCCAACAAACAAAGGCCACAACAAGTTGAAGCCAAACATACGACATTCCACTAGGGTTTCCAGGCGGATGCTTATGGGAGGAATTAGTGCCTCAAAACTTCGTTTGTTGATGTTTTTTGGCGGCCCTCCCGACCTTAAAATGTTCCTGGATAGATTCAGATACAGTAATTCATTCTCCATATGGTCATGTCTCACTACTAGTGACCGCCAAAATAGGATGGTTGGCTATGAGACTAACTAACGTTGAGGATTAACCGCCGGCCCTACAAACTCGCTCTATACTGGGACCAGAATATCACATTTGGATTCAAAAACAAAGATCGCATTTGGATTTTCAAAAAATGTTGAGGTCAATCAGTCTGAGCCATATATGATCACGGGATGGAACATGGACAATGGATGGCTGCGAAATAGACATTGAGGCGTATAGACATTGAGATCTAATAGGTGTCCCTATCGTGCACATTTCTGGAGATCTACCAATGTCAATCTTTGCATGTCCTATGCTTGCTGCCTGGGCATGAAGATTGTTGCGCCCAGTCTTCCAACTGACACATGTTCATGACCTATCCACAAATGTACTGGACAATAGGGCGAAAAAATTAGCAACCGCATACTGGGAAACCATCTGTCTCCATTGATGCATCCTTGATGCGTATGCTCCAGTCCAATCTATGCGGAATTTGATCTACTTTGCAGTGGAGAGGCTTGTCATCACCTGTGAGCAACAGTGTCCCATGTCCATCTCCTTATATCCTGTCCATTCAGGTACACGCTTCAAAAATTGATCAGAGAAATACAGCAATTCAGAGCCACCATCCAAGACCATCCAAAATCTCCCCACACTGTGGGCCCAACACGGTGGGCAGCCAGTGCTGCTGGATCCACGGTCTTTTTCTTTTTCCTGGAGATCTAGACTGTAGCCTTGCTTCGTCAAAATAAGGCGGTGCTGAAGAATCTTTTCCAAAAGCTCCTCTTTGCAATTTGTCGTCCCTTTGTTTTCGAGATGAAGATGGGCAATTGTTGTTGGTGACGTTTGGGGTCCTTGTCCTAGATGTTGGGACATACTTCAAACCAGAATGCCGTCTATACTAGGCCGCGATCAGCAAAATTGAAGGGAAAAAAACGATCGAACCAGACCAAGTGCTGCATGCAAGGGTCGTGAACACGACAAAGCACAAGTCTAATCGTGCGAATTCCCTACTTGGACCCATTCGGACGTTCCGTTGGCAGAAAGTTGGCATCATGTCCAGAATAGATGGCCTCGTGAAGTGCACAGCTGCCCAGTTTTGCGAGTAGAAACAGGATCTAAAGTCCAAAGGGGAAATCTGTGAAGTGCCTTTGGATGAGAGACTCACATCATCTCACATCCGAAAACGAGAGGCCGAAGAGGGTGATGTAGAGATCCCAGTCCTCGGCTTCTCCTCAGCTGGTGGTTCCTGGTTGCCGGAAGTGCTTCAGGGTCAAAAATGGGGACACACCAACTTAGTTTGGATTCATGTTGTGCAACGGCAACCAGAGAACAATTGCAGTATATCAATGTATATCATGGCATATGGTGGTTTCCTAAAATGGGGGTACCCCTGTTCATCATCCCTTTCAATAGGATTTTCCATTGTAAACCATACCCCCATTTATGGAAAGCTCCATGTCCTGGCATATCATGTGGTCCAGTCGCACCGGAGCCTCAATGAGAATCTCCCCGTCCAGCTCAGCCTGGCGGAGGCCAAGTCTTCCAAAAGGAATGGTCCAAAAGCCTCATGAACATATTGCACACAATACTGTATAGATGATTGATGATGATTGATGATCATTGATGATGATTGATGATCATTGATGATCATTGATGATCATTGATGATGATTGATGATCATTGATGATCATTGATGATCATTGATGATCATTGATGATCATTGATGATCATTGATGATCATTGATGATGATTGATGATAATTGATGATAATTGATGATCATTGATGATCATTGATGATCATTGATGATCATTGATTATCATTGATTATCATTGATGATCATTGATGATCATTGATTATCATTGATTATCATTGATTATCATTGATGATCATTGATGATCATTGATGATCATTGATGATCATTGATGATCATTGATGATCATTGATGATCATTGATGATCATTGATGATAATTGCTGATAATTGATGATAATTGATGATAATTCTGTGCTTTGATTAGTCTAGCTGGTTGGATGTTTCATCAATGTCCATCCGCCGACCCACTCCAGGCCTCATCGATGGGTAGTAAAGATGCCACGCTGGCCTCACAAGAGGAGTCGCTGTCGCTCCACATGTAACGCGGAAGGGGATTTTCCGCCCTTTGAAATTAGATCAACTGACCACGTTTGGGGCAATTTCTGGAGAGAGGGGAGCAAAGTTGTGGATGCTTTACGATTGCTTTATGTATGTATGTATGTATGTATGTATCTATCTATCTATCTATCTATCTATCTAATCTAATCTAATCTAATCTAATCTATCTATCTATCTATGTATCTATCTATCTATCTATCTATCTATCTATCTATCTATCCTATCTATCTTATCTAAGATCTATCTATCTATCTATCTATCTATCTATCTATCTATCTATCTATCTATCTAATCTATCTAATCTATCTATCTATCTATCTATCTATCTATCTATGTATCTATGTATCTATGTATCTATGTATCTATGTATCTATGTATCTATGTATCTATGTATCTATGTATCTATGTATGTATCTATGTATGTATCTATGTATCTATGTATGTATCTATGTATGTATCTATGTATGTATCTATGTATGTATCTATGTATGTATCTATGTATGTATGTATGTATGTATGTATGTATCTATGTATGTATCTATGTATGTATCTATGTATGTATGTATGTAGGTAGGTAGGTAGGTAGGCAGGCATGCATGCATGCATGCATATATGTATGTATACCAAAAAAAAATATGTATGTATAATTATGAGACTTCAGACTTCTTTTGAACAGGTCCTGAGTCATTGTGAGTCATGGTCGACCAATACACAAGGTCAGCCTCTGATGCGGTTTCATCGTCCAAATCCAGCCTCGTCGGAGCCGAATCACTCGAGGGGGCTCGGGGGTTCAGGACCGCTGGGACAGATTCAAATCTGATTCAAAATCCAAAATGTACCTGTTGTACCTGCCTGTGCCTGCCTGTACCTGCCTGTATCTGCTTGTACCTGTTGTACCTGCCTGTACCTGCCTGTACCTGCCTGTACCTGGTTGTACCTGCCTGTACCTGCCTGTACCTGCCTGTACCTGCTTGTACCTGCTTGTACCTGGTTGTACCTGCTTGTACCTGCCTGTACCTGCCTGTACCTGCCTGTACCTGCCTGTACCTGGTTGTACCTGCTTGTACCTGCTTGTACCTGCCTGTACCTGCCTGTACCTGCCTGTACCTGCCTGTACCTGCCTGTACCTGGTTGTACCTGCTTGTACCCGCCTGTACCTGCCTGTACCTGCCTGTACCTGCTTGTACCTGGTTGTACCTGGTTGTACCTGCTTGTACCTGCCTGTACCTGCCTGTGCCTGCCTGTACCTGCCTGTACCTGCTTGTACCTGCCTGTACCTGCCTGTACCTGCCTGTACCTGCTTGTACCTGCCTGTACCTGGTTGTACCTGCTTGTACCTGCTTGTACCTGCTGGCCTGTACCTGCCATCAAAGTACATGCCTGTACCTAAACCTGCCTGTCACCTGCCCCTGTACCCTGCTGTAACCTGCCTGTACCTGTTTATACCTGTTTGTACCCTGGCTTGTACCCACCCAGCCTTTACCTGCCTGTAACCACCTGCCTGTTCCTGCTTGTACCGGTTTGTACCTGTTTTACCTGCTTTTGTACCCTGCCTGTACTGCTGCCCCTGTGCTGACTGTACCTGCCTGTACCTGCCTTGTACCCTGCCTGTACCTGCCTGTAACTGCCTGTAACCTGGCTTTGTACCCTGCCTGTACCTGGTTGTTACCTGCTTTTGTTACCTCTTGTACTGCCTGTTGCCTGCCTGTAACCCCCTTGCCTTGTACCTGGTTGTACCTGCTTGTACCTGCCTGTACCTGGTTTTACCTGCCTTTACCTGGTTGTAATTGGTTGTACCTGCTTGTACCTGCTTGTACCTGCCTGTACCTGCCTGTACCTGGTTGTACCTGGTTGTACCTGCTTGTACCTGCCTGTACCTGGTTTTACCTGCCTGTACCTGGTTGTACCTGGTTGTACCTGCTTGTACCTGCTTGTACCTGCCTGTACCTGCCTGTACCTGCCTGTACCTGGTTGTACCTGCTTGTACCTGCCTGTACCTGCCTGTACCTGCCTGTACCTGGTTGTACCTGGTTGTACCTGCTTGTACCTGCCTGTACCTGCCTGTACCTGCCTGTACCTGGTTGTACCTGCTTGTACCTGCTTGTACCTGCCTGTACCTGCCTGTACCTGCCTGTACCTGCCTGTACCTGCCTGTACCTGGTTGTACCTGCTTGTACCTGCCTGTACCTGCCTGTACCTGCCTGTACCTGCCTGTACCTGGTTGTACCTGCTTGTACCTGCCTGTACCTGCCTGTACCTGCCTGTACCTGCCTGTACCTGCCTGTACCTGCTTGTACCTGTACCTGCCTGTACCTGCCTGTACCTTGTACCTGCCTGTACCTGCTGTTGTACCTGTCCTTGTACCTGTACCTGTACCCTGCCTGGTTTTGTACCTTGCCTGTACCTGGGTAGCCTGTACCTGGTTGTACCTGCTGCCTGTACCTGGTTGTACTGCTGTACCTGTACCTGCCTGTACCCTGCCTGTGCCTGTACCTGTACCTGTACTACCTGCTTGTACCTGCCTGTACCTGCCTGTACCTGCCTGTACCTGGTTGTACCTGGTTGTACCTGCTTGTACCTGCCTGTACCTGCCTGTACCTGCCTGTACCTGGTTGTACCTGCTTGTACCTGCTTGTACCTGCCTGTACCTGCCTGTACCTGCCTGTACCTGCCTGTACCTGCCTGTACCTGGTTGTACCTGCTTGTACCTGCCTGTACCTGCCTGTACCTGCCTGTACCTGGTTGTACCTGGTTGTACCTGCTTGTACCTGCCTGTACCTGCCTGTACCTGCCTGTACCTGGTTGTACCTGCTTGTACCTGCTTGTACCTGCCTGTACCTGCCTGTACCTGCCTGTACCTGGTTGTACCTTGTACCTGCCTGTACCTGCCTGTACCTGCCTGTACCTGCCTGTACCTGGTTGTACCTGCTTGTACCTGCTTGTACCTGCCTGTACCTGCCTGTACCTGCCTGTACCTGCCTGTACCTGCCTGTACCTGGTTGTACCTGCTTGTACCTGCCTGTACCTGCCTGTACCTGCCTGTACCTGGTTGTACCTGGTTGTACCTGCTTGTACCTGCCTGTACCTGCCTGTACCTGCCTGTACCTGGTTTTACCTGCCTGTACCTGGTTGTACCTGGTTGTACCTGACAATGTGCTTCGCTACACCTGACCATAGATTTTCGAGGAGAATCCCAAGATATCTAAATCCAAAAGAACACTGCCATCCACTTTAGCATCCCAGAAGGGAAAGTTGGGGATTTACACATGGATCAAGTCACACATAGGTTGTAACTAAAGACCAGACAGAAAAAGGTTCCCTTGATGGATATCCATCCTAAATTGCTCGGTTGAGAGACAGTAATTAGTCTTGTTGGCTACTCCATAAGTTTGTTTGGTCACACCACTCCACGTGCCCAATTCGGTGGAAATAGACCACAATTCCCGTGCTAGCACAAGCATTGCGGGATCGATTAGGGAACAGAAGTTGGAAAACCCAAAAAGTGATTTCCAAAAAAGGACTGTATTAATATGTATTAATTGTGATTTTCCTAAGGAACCAACAAAAGCAACCCAACTTGAGGCCAAGGGGGAAGGTACAAAGCTAGCAGGTTGGTACAAACCTTGTAGGCCTGCAGTTGAAGGGGGTATGGTGAAACACAGTGAAGAAAACAGCGAAGAGCAACTGAGCAGCAAGGACAAGGACCATGATGCAACTGTAGTCATGTATTTTGTGTGAGCAAGAAGGGTCTTTCTACCCCGCAATCTACATTATTCATCATTATTCTACATTTGGAAAGGATTATCAAGCCATCACACAGCACGACGCGGTCAGTTGCAGCTCACTCAAAGCACTTTCATGCAAGATTAGACAAACATGTGGCATGCAGTGCATGCAGCATCCGCCAATCGCAGCATCGCAGGTAAGACCAGAGCAAGGATGATTTTCGTCAGCCAAACATTGATGTGGGCCGCAAAGAAGATTGGCACCAAGCAGTGTTTCTGCGATGATTCTGGACAAACTGCTCTTGTTCGGGATATCTCCCAGCCACATGAAGGGTGTCCTTGCGGGATAACTCATGATAAATTCTAAAATGCCATAAAAAGCCGTGTAAAGTGTAGATTCATGCAAAGCCGCCGTAAAGCCATTTAAATCATTTTAAATCCATGCAAAGCCATGTATAGCCACTGTAAGGCCATGTCAAGCCAGATCGTTTATCCATGTTTATCCCATCACGGCTACAGTGTGCGGCGCTTCCAGGGGCATAGCTCCAGTTCCTCTGGAGATGGCTCGGCGGACGCATCACCTGCTTCGACATGCTTTGACTGAGTGGTTGATAGGTTTTTCACTTCAATGGATTGTGATATATTATGATATATTATGATCATCTATCATATAATTCATAGAGATTGGTATGATGGGGTCCCATGAAGAAGTGCTCTTTGAATGGAACACCTGTGAACCTCACCTATGAAGAAGTCTCAGTGAAGAATCAACCATGTTTTCCAAACAAAAAAAATGTTTTAATGTGATGTTCAGGGTGAGTTTAATGGTGATGATTTCATGGTGATTTAACGATGATTCAACCAGCCAAACTTGGTGTATTGTCTCGGGAAGATGTGGAAAACTTGTGGATAAAACCTATGGTTTCCAATCAATAGGAGGGAATATGAGGAAATCCATCATGATCCAAACAAGTCATGACTAGGATTAACCCCCACTTGCCCTCAGCGTATTGTCGTTGGACATTCAAGCGCAATATTTTTGGGAGAAGAGGTCCTCAGCAGTAACCTTCACAAAGGAATCCTGTTTTTCTGGCTGCACCTGTTTACTCCAACCTTCAGTGCATCATCCCAGCAACAGAAATCTCCCAACGCTTCGCGCACCATCTGTGTCATCTTCCATGGTTTCGGATCATGACGCCGCAGTTTTGGCGCAGAAATTGGGTGACCAGCTGCTTCCCCCATTTCGCTTTTTTTGTGCATCAACTGTGTGCAGAGTCATGGGCAGAATCGCAGTCGTCTGGACACGATCCAGATTAATTTTGAACTCCAATGAACTGCAATGAACTGCATAGTTGGGTTTTGTGACCCTCTTTCTGGCTATCCAATCTTCGGATAGCCAGGCCTTGATCAAGAGGATTCGCATGTCAACGACACAGAAAGTGGATTTTTGGAGGTCCCTCTTCCTACACATTTTGAATTATACTTCCAAAATATTGGCCTATATGCCAAAAAGCTGAGTGCAGGAAATCCTGATATAAGAATTCGTTCCGACCAGCTGTCTCCCCAACATCCCCTGCTCAACACATCTGAACCCACTAGCCCATTTGTCAACTCTTGGAATCAGTGCTATGTGGAAATTACCCACCAGAACCAGGTCTCCAGTGCTATCAACGACCGCGCAGCAGTGCTTTTCTGGACGGTGAGATTGCGGTGGCTGAAACCTCGCCTTACCTCAGTGACGGCAGTCGCTAACTCAGCTTCAACGCTTGGTTGCTGAGGTTGTGGAAACTCCGAAAACGCCGATATCGGAAACCTGCCAAACTCCCAAATGGATCCAAATGGCACATGTTCAGAACTCTTTTCCTGATCATCCAACCATCATCCAACCTTCCGGCTGACAACCCTCATGGCCAGACATGGCACCGCACCACCGCACCACCGCACCACGGTCCACGGTCCACGGGCTCGGAACAGACGGTGGCAGGCCTTGGCAGGGCTGAGCCATGTTGAGCCACCGTTCCAAAAGGATGGGTCAATTGGGATCATCCGAGGTCGGCAAAAAAAGATAGGGAAAAAAATGGAAAAAATGAAAAAGAAAAAATGTATTTGAAACATTTTGAAACCATCAACGTGCCCAGGGTTTTCATGCAGGATGCGAAGTTGCCCCAACTGAAAACTCGTAATTCGTGTAACCTCATGGGTATGCCTGGCTCGAATGGCCAGTTCCTGCATCAATGGCCCAAAGTTGAGGGGTTCCAAATTGCAACAAGCATACATGATTGATAGTTACGTTCATCATGAGGAGTGATTCTACATGTTCTGCTCAAAGATTACATTTGCTCCTTGCCACTCTTTGCGTCAAAAAAAAAACATGGAACATGATCCCTGGCAGTTTCTGAATCGTTTTGTGATATTTCATCATAATCCAATCCTAATTTTGGATCTATTCATTTCGGGGGCCTGCATGGGTGGTATTTAATCTGGGGGATGTCGTGCATTTAATTTGCATCATTTTGCACGGTATATCCAGCTATGTCACGTAGCCGTCCGAGACACGACAGCACCCCAGGTATCACCGGCGCCTCACGCAGTGATTTTCCAGAGGCTGCTTTAAGTGAAAGTGACCACCGAACATTCCAGGAGCCGAGGAGTAACATCTCAAGTAACTCGTAAATAAGCCCTGATACAGCATCCTTTTTTCCTGATGGATGTTTGATGGAATCCATGAATTTCCACCGAGCATGTGCGTGCTTCTTTCTTGGGCGAAACCCAGGTAATGCATGAAAATGTGTATTTTGAAAACAAAGAATTGTTACCCGCAAATTGGAATCAGGCTTCCGATCGCTATGGTCCCACCAGAATGGCTGGTCACCTAAGTATACAACGAATGGAAAATGGGGATTAAAATATATTAAAATGCTAGAATCCGCACTTGGTGCAGCTTAACCTGGGATCGACCAACGAGTCCATGTTAAAGTCAGATCGTGTGCAGGGTGCTGCTCACATGAAGAGCTTCCACAAGACCAGAAAGTTTCGACAGGAAGAAACATATTCCTATCAACAAGTTGGCAGATCTAGCGGAGCATAGCAGCATATCGGAGCTATCATGGTCATCATATGTCATCATATGTCATCATGGTCCGGATCTGCGAATCTGCCGCGCATAGCAGCCTGTTCAAAGGACAGCGTGGTGTATGTCTGACCTCGGAACGTACGCTGGGCGGATCTCAGGACACAGGGCTGCCACTGGGAGTCCGAACGGTCCATCTCCAGGTCAGGTTGATTCGCGGTCCATCCACATAACCCTGCGAAGCGGGGCTGGGACAGCTGGGACTTGTCCAGGTGGTGCTCATCGCATATGAATTGAGCAGTGGAGATTCAATGATTTTTTGCGTTGGTATCATTGCCCACTATCAACATCTATCAACAACTCAACAGTGGCCTGGACATGGCCTGGACATGGCCTGGACGTGCAGAGTATCTTAAAGCTTCACTCGATGGACTCTTGGTACAAAAAGTTGCACAGCTCATCGAGCGGGTCTACAGAATCACAACTGTTCAAAGAGTGTTGTGGTTGAGTACGCATGGGGCGAACTAAACATTCAGCACCAACCTTGAGTATTCAATATTACCATTAGTATATGATATACCGTTCATATTTACCACCCTTTTTTTGAAAATTATGAAATAACGTGTTCCCGAATAGAATTGAAAATGACAGAAACGGAACAAAGCAACTGCATCGGTCAGTCAGCACCTTTTGTTATGCAGTTGGCTTTGCGGCTGTGTTTCTGTCAGATGCCAATCGCATCAATCACAAATGGTTTCACAGAAACTCTGAACTGCAGTGGTGGTGTCACACGTCAAAATCCACCCAACCCGCCGGAGCGTGAAGCTCGCGCAAGTAAGGAAAGGAAAAAGAGGGTTATAGGTGGGAAAACACCACTGTACACCATAAAGTCAGCCGCAACCACCTGGCTCCCGAAGGACCTTAGGTGGCGTGAGAGTCGGTCTTACGACGTTTTGAATTTCCTGAAAAGGTGGGGACACTCATCTGGTCATCCAGAAGGGCCCAGAGAAATTTAAAATGGGAAAAAGCTTCACTCACTGGTAGTCGTCGATCAGGATGAAAACCAGTGAAGTTTGGGTGGGTGAGTTCGTCCGCCCACTTGTTGTAGTCCCGCTTCATGTGTGAAGGCGCCAATTGAACCCCAGCAACATAGAGCATGGCGATGAGCTGCATTAGGAAAGCTGAGGTAGGCATGTGCTTCGTCTTCTGGTTCAACAGGGCAAAGACATTGCCTTGATTGTCTGAAATGAGGCTGAGACGGGTACGAAGCAGAGATTTCCCACCCAAAGCCAGAAGGAAGTGGGTAAGAATCAATGTACCAAACATCTCGAGGGTCGCAATGCGTCTGGTTGGATCACCATCCTTGTGAGCCCATGGATGGTCTTCGAGGGGTATCTTGTAATGGAACCACCAGGTCTGTTCCTTTGATGGGTTCTCACAATCTGCAATCCACCCCCCAATGTAGGCCCCATCGTCCGGGTGTGCACTAGCATCACTGGCACCCCACCAATTGGAGGCAGGGTCGTAAGGGCAGGGCTGGATCTGGGGGTTGTGAAGCAGCTGGAGGAGAAGCTTTGAAAAGGATCGTATGAGCTTGCCGGGCTTCCCTGAGGTAGTCGTCGCGGATTTCCATGCCCAAAATGGCTGAAGAAAAGGGCGACTGAGGGGCCAAGCAGCCGTTGCCCAATTTAATCGTCCCAGTGCTCTCTCAATCTCCTTCACCGTGAAGGTGTTGCCCGCAGCAATGGTCTGAAGGAGTGCCTCAAGTGTCTTCCTCTTATCTGGAGGGAAGTCGACCACGGGTCCGCATGGATTGACCTGGAAACCTAACCAGCTGTTGACCTCAGATAACACCGTCTTGTGCCAACTGAGGGGGCATCCCATGGCTGCTAAGAAGAGAAGCAGTTTTGCAGTATCCTCAGTGGCGGAGTCCGTCCTGAGGAGCCAACAAAAATCGTCCACGAACACAAAGCCCCAGTCTATGTGTGGAAACATCATGTAGCATAGTCTGAGGAGGAGTGCCGCCATTCTGCCCCAATAAAGTTGGGCGCTGGCCATACCATAGGTACCCACCTTGTTTATCCACCATTCACCATCAAGTTGTGCTACTTGGTAGCGCCATTCGTTGGACTGGACCTTGATGCGGCGGTGTGCTTTTGAAACATCTGCTTTCAAAAGTGCCCAGGTGGTTTGTTTGTGTGGAGGTTGCCATGCCAGGTCGGTGCAAGACGCTACCGTCCCAGATGTCTTCTCCTTCGTGGTGGTTAGCCAGTGAATGGCTTGAACACAGTCCATCACTGTGGGTGCAGTGGTCTTCTCAACTGTGTTTTGTTGGATGTGTGAGTTTGCATGGCCCCAGCTTCCGTCGTAGATTGTGCGGATTTTATCTCCTTCGTCAATTGCCGCCAGGGGCCCTGGGCAGAGTTCATCTGGGGTGCATCCACAGCGGAGTGCAGCCTCCTCCTGTGTGAGTGGGCCCTCAACCATACCCATATCTACCTCTTCCACGAAGGTCTGTCGGACCTGAGAGGAGAAATCTTTTGCCGAGGGGTAGTTGTCCCTGCCCATGGGTATTAGGAGGTCCTCCCACAGAGGGGATTCTCCTTTGAGTTCTTCCTTGGTAGGCCATATACCTGGTGATGTCCAGGTGGGTGTGGTGACACCTAAGGGGACTCCCTTGGCAACCCTTGTGGGGTAGGCCGCATCTGCATCTCCACCAGCTTCCGCTAAGGCTGAGATGAGGTTCAGATAGAACGGCTGGCCTGGCTCCACCTCCTCAGCAATTTGGTAGTCCAGCCCGATCCCTTGGGCAATGGCCCGTCGTGTATCCTGAAGAAGTTCCTTCGGGAACGGATGTTTTCTTTCACCCCTATTGATGGACCGTTGGACGTCCTGTGCACATCCTTTTGCCAGGTGGCTAATGGAGTCTCCAATGTGCTTGATCTTGGACTGAGGTCTGAGCGGGGGAGGTCGTCTCCCGGCTGAGGGCTTACCTCCTCCATCCCGTAAAGGTCTAGTCTTGAAGCCTGATTGAACGATGATCGGGTCGTCATCCAAAGTCATCGTCTGGGAGAGGGGTACCGATGAGGAGCGGTCCGTCCGACCTGGAG